AACACTGAGGTGGCACCAGAATCCAACTAATTCCAACATGTTTGAATTCTTGAAACTTCCAAGGGGGATCTCCCGGGGATACAGAATGTGCCAATGTTTCAGTGATGTCAGGATGACTACCATCATTACATAGCACATCTCAGCAGCTGCACATCTCAGCAGCAGGTGTTTCTGTGCTCCGAGCAGCCCAATGGGCAACTGCTTGCGATGTATGGCCTGGTGTATCCCGACAATCCCACTGGAGTGGCCTTGACTCAGGCTGAATCGAGTCCAGTGAGACAAGGCTTCATTTTGTCGTATTCTTAAGACATCTTCAGACATCTTAAGACATCTTAAGACATTGTTTACATTTAGTTGTACAGTTGTACCATGTGTTTCCATTCTGCCGATCCAAGCGGGAAAGGAGCACCGGCATGTGTTCGACATGCCAAATATGTGTTCATAGCAAGTGTTGCATGTTTTTTTCCACCACTTGGATGTGAAAGTGATGTGAAGCAGAAAAATCTTCACTTAGCTTTTGACACGTCACAGAACCCATGGGTTTCTCGGATTTTCTCTGCGTCCCCTTGGTTTTTGTAGATTTTTCGGATTTTTGGAGGTGAAGCCCACCCAGCCGACTCAGCCACTATCCTTCCAAGCTGCCTGGGGAGGCCAGCGTGAAAGACCACTTGTTGGATGCGATGCTGCAGCAGGCGCAGCTCACCTGCGATCATTCGGAGGTCCGCTCGCTCTTCCTGCGCCGCCAGGAGGCCACCGGCCACGGGTGCACAAGAATTCATTCCGAATGTCTTCAATGATTTGCTTGCCGTTTTTTTGGGGGGCATACATACGGTAAACGCATGTAAACGCCATGTTGGCACAAAAGTCAAGAGTTGTGAGGGTCAAAAGCTACCATAGTTTGGGGATGTTCATCAGGGCACCAGCACCCAGATGAAGAAAAGATATATAAAGGAATTTAGAAACCGGTGGTTCAGTGCGCATTCACGGGTGGCCAAGAAAGTGCCATGAAAACAGATCCTGCAGCCCATCAGCCCCCGGCCCCTGTCTACGACTAATTTAGTATCTAGAATCTAAAAGTATCTCATGATGCAACACTAGGTGTACCCTCCTTCCTACAAATTTAGGTTTGAAAATTGGGTATCCAAAAAATTTTCATGGTTTCATCGCTTACCAATCTGTTTCCACCTTCCCGTGCCACAGGAGCTCCTGACTGCGCGCAACCTCCGTTGCGCCAGCATCCTTTGGCTGGGCGGCGGGGCTGCAGCGCGCCGCGCCTTGAGCGCCGGATACCTGGACGCCTGGCCTCGACTGGCGCCGCTGGAGGATGGGATGGAGGTGGGGCTGGGTCAAAGATGGGGTACCTGTTTGGAACCCCAAGCAAATGATTTTGATTTAATGATTCATTTGATTTATCATCATGATGATGATGATGATGATGATGGTGGTGATGATGATGATGATGATGCATCAATAATCATATGACTGAGATGAGTCATCCTATAACTGAAATGTATCATATGGCTGATTTGACTGATATGTTTAACATGCATTTAATCATCTATGTGTGTTTGTTTTGTTTTGTTTTGTTTTGTTTGTTTCAATCTAGTTGCACGATTGATTTTGAGCCATCCCCAGGTGAAGAAGTGGCAGCAAGCAGAGGTGAGGCTGTATCAGTTGCTGATGAAGGAGTGCAACACGTCCAGAGAAGCTGGGCGCGCTTTTAGGTGAGAAGAGTGAGACGATCAGGGAAGGTGGGAAGGCTGTGACTACCTGGACATTCTGGGGTACAGTGTCCCCAGTTTGGGGATACCAATGGATACCATCTCATCTCTTACAATTTTTTGCATCATACACACAAATTACTCAGGGGGGCCAATCCATTCTTTATGTCTTCAGGGACTGCTTAGCAACCAAGGAAGGGCTACAAGCAGTGGACGTGGATGTGCTTCAAGGGGTGAAGCTTGAGAACAGCAGGATGCAGCTTCGCAGCACTTTGATTTGAGTGTCCTCACCATTGTGCTTGAAATTGGGGGATGACCTTTGCAACACCGTTGAGTATCACCTTTGATCTACGATGTTCCTGTCCAGTCTGTGTGCTTGATGGGGTTCCGTCCTACTTTATGACAACACGAGGGAGTTGGTCTCTTCATAGTGGGGTCATGGCATGTTCAAGTCAGGTCAAACTCTGTGTTGCTGGTTCGAGAGCAAGAACTTCAATTGTTCGAGCATTGCCTTCGTTGGTCGGCGGCGCGGGTGGATGCGTTGCAGACCATGGCAGGGTCGCCGAAGGGAGCCAAAGCTGGAGGAAAGATGGAGGAGCTTTAACCAGACATAACCAGACCATCAAGGTACCTACCACCTTGATACACTTGCCCTGGATGACCTGGATCATACCTGGATCATGGACCGTTCTGATCCCTCCTTCCGAAGCGTGAGAGTGTCAACTGGAGAATGGCTGATGCCGAGCCTTACTGCTGGTCCTGTGTGGATGTTTTTGTTGCATGCCGCTGGAGGGAAAGGAATCCGCCATCAAACGGTCTGTGACTGCAGCGACATGGAAAACTTCAGTTTAAGATGACTCCGCGAAACCCTCGGAGAGAGGGAGCCTGCAGAAAAAAAGGTTGGCAGAGTCTGTATATATAACGACTTGGAACAGTCTTTGTTTCTCAGAGGTATTTTTCCTTAGGCCCGCAAAGGCCTTGTGAATTCATTACTTCAGGATACTTCAGGTATCTTCAGGCTAATTATTTGATAGTTTGTCATGTCTTGTCAACTCTCAAAAAAAACTTAATGCCAATCATAAAATCAGATAAGAATAGATACGGCCCCTCCAAGGATACCAACTGGATGTCGCATGGCCATCAGTAGGTCCAAAAATCTCTGTTTTTAGGTGAACGGAAGAAAAAGGAAGAGCTGCAGCAGATGCTCCAAGCAGAAGAACGTCTTGAGTTAAGCAGCTCCGCAGAAGGATGCTCCATTTGGTCGCTCACGATCCTGAGATTCTGATGTGTGACATATGGAGAAGCCCTGGAGAGATATTGGTCAGATAATGTCAGATAGAATGTGTTTTAGGAGGTGTAGTTAGTGCAATGTTGTGCACACATGTTAGCAAATATTGGTAGATAGTAGATTGTATAATTTCACAAGCCTTAAAGTACCCCATCATTGTGTGTTCGGAATGTTTGTGTGCTAGGTTGAAGCGGTTGCATTTTGCATGAAGTACGCTTTGAGACTACGACTATTTCCGGAAGGGGTCAATTCAGACACACCAAGAGTCGGCAATGCCCTGCGTTGGAACACGTTCTGAAACCTTTGGTTTGGCTCCAACCATTCATTTATTCAATGAATGTGTGTTTGTGCAAGTTTGCTTCATGGCATGCTTGGCTGCGGATCTGGCTGGTGGTTGCACATGTTTCCATTTGTGCCCATGTAGACCAAGCGATCCAATTGAAAAGCTTGACCAAAATACCCTTTGGTAATTTAATATAGCTATGGAAATTTACCATTTTGATCAGGTAAATCAACAAAAGCATATAAATAATAATTATCATTATCGTATCAATCGTAATAATTAATATAAATATATATATATACAGAAGATTGCCCATAAGCTAACTCTCAAATTATTGGATGGTATCCCACGATATCCCTGGGCCATGGCTGAGTTGATGCTGATCCGGAGAAGACCGTGAAGTGCGTCATGGTGGCCGAAGAGTCTGGTTGGAAGGCAGGCCAAGTTTCCGAGCAAAGCTCTGGTTTTCGTATGTTAATGGTATATGTTTATGGGATTTTAGTGGGATGTTAGTGGGATATCGAGTATGGGATATATGAAGTAGAAGAATCCGGTATGGAATATCAACTATCCAGGTTAGGGGGGAAGTCAAGGAGCTATGGGTATCCACATTCCCAACAATAAAATGGAAAGCCAAGGAGCTAACAAGAGTTTCTCAACCACATGATGGCCATTTCTATAGAATATGTTGTCATGGTGGTTTGATAACACTCAACAAAGATAGACTATGATGGACTCATATTTGAGCCATTGCATATGATGCGAATGTAGGTGTGCACTTATGAATGAGACACTCATGGATGAATGGATGCAAATTTGAAAAGATGTTTGTCAAATCTGTTTTCATGCTCTTCTTTGGAGGGCAAATCTGATTTGCATCTGATCATGAGGACGGACTGTGAACACAATCGCAAACACTAACACATTGCCCAAACGAATACTCAGGCAGGCAGATACACAAGGAAACGCAGATGCATAAACAGCCTTTGATTGGACATCCTTGTCCGTGATTTCCATATAGCCTGGTGTGATACCTTTTGATCTCTTTGATGCAGTTCAACCAGAAACAGAGAGCCGTCAATCAACACCGACTGATGTCCTTGAGGAGTTGTCAAAGCAAGCTATCGAGCTCTACAAGAGGAGGCTGCACAGTCCGGATGCAGCCAGGGATGGTAATGGGAGTTCATACAAGAGGGGAGGGTCCTCCCTCATTCAGATGATTTCATAGGTCTTCAAATACAAATTTTACAAGCGTTACAAAGAATCCCATTCATTCTGGTGGGATGACCTGTGTAACTTGACCATGGCACGCATGTTCACCAGATGTGAAGACATTCTGTGGTCGACACTGACAGACCTTGTTGCAGGGTGAAGGAGGCGAAAGAGATGTCAGTGGCAAAAAGCAACGATGAGGTGCGCTTCACGAAGGGCCCGTGGAAAGGGGGCGACTTTATGAGCGCTAATCCTTATTGGCATCGCAGAAAGCGTTGTTGCATTTCTACAATTATAAAAGAAAAACATCCAATTGATGTTGATGGACCCGATGCCGACTGAACATACTGCCGTATGTGAGCAAGTACGATTTGCATAATAATGTCATATAATGTGTAATTCACAAGTACTGGCAGTACTGGGTCATATGGGACACTGCAAATTACAAGTTGCCGTGGGGTTGGGATGACTACTGGAATATGGCGAGGGATACGTATTTTGCATTATTTTTGCATATTATATCATATAGAATATGATACATACAATACGTAATTCGCATATATGATATGTGTATATATATTTATATATATAGTGTGTATAATTATACAAATGTATCATATATTATGTGCATATGTAATTCTGATTGCATGTGAAATCGCAACTGAATCGCAACCAGGCGATTCACGGCTTCCGTTTCATGGTTCGGGTGATGCACTCTGCGCAGAGCATGCGCGGAGCAGTGCGACCTGACACCAGACTTCGCCCTTGAGTCATGGTTCGGCCATGTTCGGCCCAAAATGGGGCTGCCTTTTCCGTAGTTCCAACTTAAAAATGAACTAGCAGTAACTAGCACATCAGGATACATCAGGGTTGTACAATCAAAAAATCATGTTCTAAACATGTCCAATTGGAGTTTCGGGGCCATATTTGAAGATATTCTCTGACTGGGGACCGTTCTTTCCTTGACATCTCCGAGTCACGTTCAGGCGTTCAGGGACTTCTGCCCGCCAAGGCACAGCCGAATCGCTGTCAGTGCAAAAAAGCAGGTAGAAGAAATGATGGTGAAGGGAAGCGCACTTCAGAGCCTTGGTTGACGAACATATCAGGTTAGCAGTGGCTTGCCCTTTTCCGGACACTGCAGGTCCAGTGGAAGCAGTGCAACCTGTTGATAGAGGCTGAAAGGTGTTGGCCCTAATTGCACTAGGTCACTAGGTAACGTGTCAGAAGAAGGAGGCCCATTGAAGACGCTAGACTCATTGACAGACATGTTTAATCTAGAAGATTCCACCTCTTTGCTGCTCAAGTTGCCAGCTTTTCTGCCAAGGATGTTTCGAGCACTTGCCCCTTGGTCTATAGCTATAGGCCCTTCCCATTGACCTTGCCAGCCATCATCCAAGCAAGTGTAGCTGGATGTAGCTGGTGTGCCTGAGGCATGGTGTACTGATGTGGAAGACGTCCACAAAAAGGTCCAGGACCTGTTAACAAAGATCATGTGCCTTGCCGCAACAAATTGCAGACCTCCCATAGGTTGGAGGTGATGGTCAATGATCATCAATGATCATCAATGATCTATCATGATCTATTAATCATTGCTGCTTTATTGATTGCAGTTGGAACAGTGAACATGTGGATTAATTGTTGGGGCCTCTGTGTATTTTTCTTTCCTTCTTGTTGGATGCATTTGGATTCTCTGTCTGCATGGGTGCTTTGTGTTTGGAGCTGACACCTTGGATTCATTCCGAGATTCATTCGGTGAAATGATGGATTTTTTCTGCAGTTACATGTATTATAAATTATTTGGGTTTGCCATGGTTTACCCGGAAATTGCAGCAAGGGTCCACGCCTTCCAATTCTAAGCACAAGCATCTGCGCTAACCACTAGTCTGCAAGCTTCATCCAGCGCCTGAGGAAAGAATGGGAAGAAAATTCGGAAGCCGCACCACAGGACCACCGGAATTCGGTTGTGCCAGATTTTCTTCCATATGCGAAGAAAGAAAACCACAGCAAAATTGCAATGAAATGTACAGGCACACATGTCAATTTTGCCAATTATACACAAGTACTGTAGCCTGTAGGTCATCCAAATTAAAAGTGGGCTTATGGCTGAGGCGTGCCTTTGGTTTTGATTTGCACGTCACACTGCAAGCATCGCAAAGACTGCTGACTACTCGTGACTGCTTTAAGAGACGTCCAGGACGTCTCTAATTTACACGCATCAGTGGTGGAACTATCGAAGATGAGCAAAGTGCCTCGGCTTTCCGAGCAAGGGAAGCACCAATCCCAAGACCATTTGGACACGGTTCATTTGTTCCGCCTGTGCTGCCAAATTGTTTTGCCATGAACCTCCAGCCCCACTAAAATTCGGTGACATGTGTATATATATTTTTTTTCAAGATTTTCCAAGTACCATCTGCCATCCACTTTCCCGTTAGCATCATCTAACACTCAGTCTACCATTATATATATATATAAATACTGTATATACATTTTGCCTTGCATTTCATACATAATATGATATAGATATAGATATCAATGTATAGCATGCCATCCCCCAGTTTCTTTTCTAAGGACCTGAAGACCTACTCCCAGCAGATGCAACGCCTGATGACGGCGGACAAAGACATGCTGGCAGCCATCAAAGACTCCGAGGACCACCCCACGGACGTGGCCAAGGTAGCGCACCCACGGTGGGGATGATGCGGGGGACACATGCTTTGATAAGACGTTTCAAGAAATATATGAAGTACTACCACTAGGCTTAAGTCGTATCAATCGACCTGAAGTCGTATCACACCTGCGTGCGCGCAGTGTTTCGTATAGATTTTGATAGTTCTTTATTTGATGGGTTATTGATTCGAACACGTTTTCATCGCTGTGCGCAATGTTTTGTTGACATGATTCTATTTGACCCTACTAGCCCTAGCGTTAAGTCGTATCAGCTCGTAGAAGTTGTATCCGGAGGCCGTGCGCATGGAAAAAGTTCAAGTTTGGCATCACAACTTTTAGTAATTGGATGATTTCATTGTTTTGGGGCCGTGCGCCTAGAAAAAGTTCAATTTTTGTCCTGCGTTGATTTATAAAACTTATATTAAATTTCGTTATTCTTTCAACGGGGCAAACGCTGGTTGCTGCTTTCTGCTTGCTTTCTGCTTGCTTGCTGCTTGCTTGCTGCTCCTTGCTGCTGCCTCCTGCTGCTGCTGCTGTTGCTGCTGCTGTTGCTGCTGCCTCCTGCTGTTGCTGCTGCCTCCTGCTGCTGCTGCGGCTGCGGCTTCCTTCCTTCTGCTGCTGCTGCCTCCTGCTGCTACCTCCTGCTGCTGCTGCTGCCTCCTGCTGCTGCTGTTGCCTCCTGCTGCTGCTGCTGCTTCCGCCTGCTGCTGCTGCTGCTGCTTCCTCCTGCTGCTGCTGCTGCTGCTGCTGCTGCTGCCTCCTGCTGCTGCTGCTGCTGCCTCCTGCTGCTGCTGCTGCTGCCTCCTCCTCCTCCTGCTGCTGCTTCCTCCTCCTGCTGCTGCTGCTGCTGCTTCCTCCTGCTGCTGCTGCCGCTGGTGCAAACATTTTGCCGAAAAAGAAAACTACAGTCTCGGTCGCCTTGTTTGGCGCTGGCGGGAGATACGGGCGGGAGACGCCAGCAGAGAGAGGGACTGTTTACAGAAGGCAGAACTTATGAAACTTTAGCAGAGCTATTACATGGAAATCTATGTTTGTTAATTAGGAAACAAAGTTAAAGATCTGGGAGGCCGTGTGCCATGGTGATTCCTAAATATATCCTTTGGAAACATAGTTTAAACATATGTGAATACCTCAGTGTGCGCAATGTTTTCTTCATTTTTGGAGATATAACAACATTCCTTGAAAGCCGGTGTGCCATTGGGATTTTGATATTTTGATGTGACTTTTGCCCAGTTGATGTGACTTTCTTCCAACTCGCTGTTGCATGGGGTTGATGTGACTTCTGCCCAACTGATGTGACTTAAACCCTTCGCTCGTATATTGAAGTATAAGTAGATAAGTAGATTGACATCTAATTCTATAAATGTATTTATATGGTAGTTGTGACTGGTTGCCTGGCTGGTAATTCTGGTTGCAGTTGTCCAATTTTGTCAGGACAGCTTCTGAGTGGCATTACGGTTGATGCACCAAAGGAACTGTAGCTCAACAAGACTCAAAGAGAGAGAGAGAGAGAGAAGTTCCAGACAATGTGATCCAAAGCAGTGAAGATTGCTGTTCATGTTGATGCCGTCGTCGTCGTCGTCGTCATCATCATAATCATCATCATGATCATGATCATGATCATCGTCATTATATCATCATCACCATCATCATCATCATCGTCATCCTCATCATCATCATCATCAACACCGTCACTATCACCATCACCATTATCACCATTATCCCCATTATCCCCATTATCACCATTATCACCATTATCATCATTATCACCATTATCACTATTATCACCATTATCACCATGACCATCGCCATGACCATCGCCATGACCATCACTATTGTTATCATCATCACCATCACCGTCACCATCACCATGACCACGACCACCACACCACCACCACCACCACCACCACCATCATCATCACCATCATCATCACCATCACCGTCACCATCACCGTCACCATCACCATGACCACGACCACCACACCACCACCACCACCACCACCATCATCATCACCATCATCATCACCATCACCATCACCATGACCACGACCACCACGACCACCACGACCACCATGACCACCACACCACCACCACCACCATCATCACCATCATCACCATCATCACCATCATCACCATCATCATCACCATCACCGTCACCATCACCGTCGCCATCACCATGACCACGACCACGACCACCACACCACCACCACCACCATCATCATCATCACCATCACGGTCACCATCACCATGTCCGCGACCACCACACCACCACCCACCCACCACCCCCCCACCCCCACCAACCATCATAATCACCATCATCAATCACCCATCATCATCACCATTCATCATCACATCACAACCGTCACCAGCACCATGACCACGACCACCACACCACCACCACCACCATCATCACCATCATCATCACCCATCACCTTCACCATCACCATGACCACTACCACACACCACCATCACCATCATCATCACCGTCCCATCAACCATGACCCACTCCACCCACGACCACCACGACCACCACTACAACCACACCACCACACCACCACCACCATCAGTCACCATTCACCATACACACCACCACCACCACCACCTCCCTCCTTCCACCACCACCACCATCATCATCACACCATCGATCATCACCATCGAACCTGTCACCATCACCATTACCACTACCCGTCACCATCACCATGACCACGACCACCACACCACCACCACCATCATCACCACCATCATCACCACCACCACCGCCGCCGCCACCACCACCACCATCATCATCATCACCATCATCATCACCATCACCGTCGCCATCACCATCACCATGACCACGACCACCACACCACCACCACCATCATCATCACCACCACCACCACCGCCACCCCCACCACCACCACCACCATCATCATCACCATGATCATCATCACTGTTACTATTTTCTGTTGTTTCTCGGCGATGAACTTTTGTCATGATGATACTTGGCTCCTGGCAGGCATTGGAGGCCTTGAAGGTGGTCACGGCGAGATCGGCATCCAACCCCTTCCAGAAGAAGGTGGGCAGATCGCCGTGCGTATCACATCGGCGGAGATGGGCGGATGATGTCCAGTGAAGTGTGCGTATATGTGTGTATATATTTGAAACGGTTACATTCAAGAATTTAAGTTTATCGAATTTGTCTTTATTATTCCCATAGCTCTAGGATTGATTTTCTAAGGGGAGGTTTCAGGATACTTACATTTGATTACCGTATACATAGGTAGATAGATAAACAGATAGATAATTAGATAGATATATAGATTACTAGATAGCTATATAGATGGATAGATCGATGGATGTCGGATTTTACGTTTCTATTGTTTGACGGGTTACTATGCACCGATATGTCGGATCCTTGGGTAGCGGACGATAGCAAAATGGTGGGATATGGGCACAGCGCCCAACATGGCAATTATAAATGGGGAATGATGCTAGACCGCGGGATGGAACGTTCGGAACGGGGTGCCAAACTTTGGGACAACCTCAGTATATATATATATATATTATATAATACTGTAAGAACAATAACAAATGATAATAGTAACACATGAATAAACACATATATATATTATATATATATCGCATTATCATTATATATGGTAGCCTCATTCATGTTTGTGCTATATGCAAACATCTCCGCTGCAGATGCTTGAAAAATAAGTCCCGACACTGGATGAGATATCAGATCATTGAATCATTGGTTAATACATCCCGTAGAAAAAGGCCGTTGGAACAATGTTGCTGAACAGTAGGGTGTTGCCAAAAAATGTAGAGAGATATTGGGTTGTAAGTATCCACTGCATTGGATATCATATCTAAATGCACTTTAAGTGGATGAAATGACGAGACCGGCCATGGTCATTACTATGCCAGCTATTCCCTGCCTACATCATACTGGGATCGAAGTGTGGACAGAAGAAACAGCAAGAGAGAGGGGAAGAGAGGAATAGTGGACAGGAGTTTGAGCTTACTGTAGTGTGTGTGTGTGCCCTTGATGGTGTTTGCTACGCATTGCTTTGAGCATTCTTAGCATCCAATCGGTCAGTGATTGGACACATTCGTGGATGGGGTAAGAACATTTCGAAGAGACAGAATCAGCTAGTGTGGGAAACCATTTGGCTGCCATAAACCTAGCAGTATGGGGATGGTTGAAATCACACCCAGGAATTCTCTTTTGGGGATGGGTTTTGGCGTTGGGTTTACCACGTTTCAATGTCAAACCAATTTGAACTCCTTCAGGTTGAGAAGATGCTGAGCCGCACCTTTGAAGAAGCCAAGCAGTCTGGTGCAACTCGGCAAGGGATATCTGAAAATGCGGGGGTTCCAAAAAAATGGTACCTTTAATGACCAAAATGATCATTAAGCATCAAATTTTGGGATACCCTATTTTCAGTCAAAGCCATTTGTTTTGTTTGTTGTAGTCAGCCAGTCTTGCACTGTCTGACCAGGATTCTTTCTGGCATCAAGAGCTGAAAGGCCAGTTGCATTGAAAGCTAATATCATACCATGGTTTGGTTGATGGTGTCAAGAAGGCCACCAGGAAAACTGTGATGCTGCACGGGGTCAAAGATGGCCAGATCTGAGGACAGGAAGCAGCTTGAACTCCTGCGAGACACTTGCACCGCGCGAGACATTGTAGCGAAATTCCTTATTATCTGTTACCATTCCGAAAGTTCCAATGAACTGATTTTTGAAGAGGGCACTCTAAAGAAGATTGAAACTAAAGGTGGGCAAGTCTGGGTAAGACTTTGTACTTGGATCATGATGCTGGACCATTTCTTGTATGGACCTACCACTTGGGCCTGCCTTATTCCCCGCTTCTGTGGGCAACGGGTCGCAAAAAATATGTGGGCTCATAGGCAGCCAGACTGTGTCTGGATGATTCTAATATGAGGCCGGCCCTAAGGTTGGTTGATAGGGTTTCCCTGATTCATTGTGATACCCTCTGGTAAACTAATATAACTATGGAAAATCACAATTTTTAATGGACAAATCCACTATAAATGGCCATGTTCAACAGCTATGTCAAATTACCAGAGGGTAATCCCTAACATGTTGGTTAGCACCCCCTATTCGCATCAACCCAGGGGATCGAGTGTGCCTTGTTCGTTTGAACCAAAGGACAAAGCCTCCAAGAAAATCAGCGAAGCGGCAGCGGAACTCTTGAAATCCACGCGGGGCGACCAAGGAGGGGCTAGTTTTAGGACGGGCATGAAAGCTACGGCTATCCCCCGTATGCAATAGGCTATGGCATCATATATATATACATATATTATTATTATTATTATGATTATTATTATGATTATATATATGTGTGTGTGTGTTGTATAAAGTGCGGGGATCATCCCGGTTAGTAAGTGGTCGATACCAGCTTTTATTGAAATCCACTATAAGTGAATTCATCCCATAATTGAATAAAGAAGGGTCGCTAAGCCGCTGCCCTTCTTGGGACGTGGCTGTCTGCTTGGGCTCAGGGACCGTTTGCCAAAATGTTTGGCCAGTGGCGACTGGGCAGGCGAGGTGGCACATTTTATTTCATGGTATTTATGTAAGCTCACTGTTAACTGGTATCTCTCCTTCAAGTGAACACAGCACACATACTGGGACAGTACCTATGCCCTGGTTATTTGAAGTTATTCGAAAAAAGTCAAACACGTCACATTGGTTGTTATTCTTGAAATGTGTCAATGTGGTTTGGCCGACCAGTTTGTATGCAGTTCAACTAGCTTCGAATGAGTTTGATGCCCCTATTCCAAGGCAAGATGGCCTAGTTGCATCCCACATCCAGTTGGATCTGCGCATTTATTTGAACTGATGGTTCCCTGTGTTTCCATCACCACCACCACCACCAGCATCATCATCATCATCATCATCATCATCCTTTCATATTGGAGCATCTCATGTGATCGCCATGATAGCAGGTGTGTGCGCTCTCGCAGCTGAATTCCAGTCCACGGGATGCCACGCTTTTGCGTGCCTTGACGATAGCTGAAGATAGCTGGACAGCTGAACAGGCGTTTGAGTGATTCGGATGTTTGTTTATCACGGGGTAAACCAATAAGGTGGGAAATCCCAATGCCATACATAATTGTATACATCATACCATTTGGGGATGGTTTATAGCACCCACAACAATGGTGGTTTTTTGGGATTGTTTATTATTGTCGGTTTAATTACCGCATCAATCAATGAAATATTATATACTTCCAGGGATGGCTTATACAATTACAATTACCGTCCATGCCTATGGTCAAATGTTATTGGGTTTACCATGGTTTACCAGATTAGGTATGAGGTATGCTGAGCCAATTCCGACCCGAGTGAATCCCATCGCCAACCCCGTTCCTTCTCACACATGTATTTCTTGGAAATGCACATACAGAAAAATCAAGACATAAAGTATTGTCTTTTACTGAGTATTGTTTTATAATACTGCTCGCAGACAAACGTTCCTTTTGAAGCAGGGCCCGCTACCAGAACCTGGCAGAGAAATCTCTGCCAGGTTCGGCGGGAGGTGAAAACCAACTTGGAAATATTCTATCGGACACTTTTGTGGCTTCAAGTCATGCCACCCTTTTCATCTCGCCTCCATTTGACTTTTGACAAGAAGAGTGCGGCTCGACTTTTCATGCATTCAGAGCAACTTGGAAAGCTTGTCAGGGGTTAACTGGAGAGTGGCACTTTTCAACAAAACAAGACCGTGGTGGCGGCAATCACCAGAGGGTGCCTTTGGGGACAAGAAAGTTCTTGAAAGCAAGTCCTGAAGAAAAGCCCACCGAATCAAAGCCAGCTGCCAGATGTTCCGGCTCAGGAAAGATGCACGGCAACACCTCCGAGATCGCATTGATGAGGCACCAAAAGCTGGTCGGAGCAGCATGTGCATGGCATGGAAGATGGCAATCAACAGAAAGAAGAGACAAACAGCATTTAAGATTTTGGAAAGAAAATAAATGGAAATTCATGTCAAAGATCTATCCACTGCACCATGGAAGCATTGCCATATTTTCTAGCAACCTTTGTTGGGTTTCCTCCAAGCGCGGCTCAGTTGCAAACTTTGAAAGCTGAATCTGCAGCGTCTCTCATCTGAATCCGGGTATGCGCAGCGGGGTGTGTTCAACTCCAAGCCGGGAATGGTTGCTGTTTTGATCCGTTTGTTCCAAGCATTCCAAGCCGGTGTTCTTGAGCAAGTTGCTTACAAGAAGTAAGAAGACACATACTGAAATAAAACGAGATATACTGAGTATATCGAACTGCAATAATTAAAAGCATCTTATAGCTACATAGCATCTTGGATATCGTGGCGTTTGACCCTCCAAAATCTGGTGTAGCAGTGTGCACCCAGGCTCGTGGTCTACGAGCTCTTTACAGCTGCGAAGCAAAATGGCATCGATGAGTTGGCCGAGACTTGGCAGAAATGGCCTCTTGTAGTGATCATCATTGGTGATGTAATAATACCCATTATGGTGATGCAAGTATACTGATATATACTGATTACAATGGTGAAATACTATGTCAGTATATCATCAATTATGATCATTACACTATACAATGGTGAAATCTAATGATTTTCAAGTATGGTGGTGATGATGTAATAATGGTGATTAGATGTGATTAGTAGCGATGAATGGGAATGGAAGTAATGATCAATAATGATCAATAAGGGTGAATAAGTGTCATCAATGGTTATTAATTAAAAAGTTATTAATGTGAGTTACCCTTTGGCAATTAAATGTGGAGCTGATTACAGGATGGTACCCTTGTTGATGTAGCTGAGGATAATTGTGACCCATGATAGGCATATCTATTTAGCTATGCCAACCAGTATATATAATGGGATGGGATAGAGTATTCTTCATGGTTTAGATGAAGGTAACTTGCATTTGGGGTGCCTAAACGTGGCAGCGGCCCAAAGCCAGATTTGTTTGACTTATATATAAGACTTATTCCTTGAAGGGGCCGTTGCTTGTTTGGTGGTGGGGGGGTACCCCAATTTCGGCAAACACTGGATGTGGGCAGGGATATTCTAGGCGCGAGTGCGCGAGCGGCCGCTTTTCAACAAGGCATGAAGGATTTAGTGAGGGTTTGATGTGGTCTTGACCTGTGTTCGCCATAAATCACCCATTGTGTAGAGGTTTTGGGCCTGGAGTCACCGCAAATCAGCCATGAAATGATCCACAAAAATCACCCTTGAATCAACAAAAAGGAATGAATCGCCCATGAATCACCATGACAACTCAGGAGTTGTTGATCGAAAAGCTGGGCGCCTCCCTCCCCGCGGGCTGGGCTACTATGACGCCAGCCACCCAGTGGGGATGGGATCATACCCCATAGTCATCCCAAGAGCTGGTTGCTGATCCCACTGTGGGGGATGGCACAGAATGTTCTGCTGAGGGCCGACAGCACTTCAGTGCGGAAGGCACGTGAACAACCAATGGTTTGCTGAACTTGAGCTGCATTCACCATAAGTTTCGGAAAGCTGTTGCTATGCAGCATTTCTGGATGGTCTTTTGTAGGAAACTTATAGGAAAGACGGGGTAAAAATCAGGCCCATCCAATTTTTACATCAGCGGAGCCAAGCTGAATCACTTGAAATTGCAGGAGTTGGTGACCGATCAGGAGGTTCTTGACCGAATCCAGAGCATGGTGGATCACACCTTCAGAACCTGGGGAAGTGCCTTGGTTTGCCTTGGTACCTGGTACGATTGTGGGACAAAATGGACAAAAATTTGACTGGAACTTAACCAACAAACATGAGAACTTAACCAGGCAACATGGGTGTTTTATATCGGCATATCAATTAACAACCCATTCTGGCTGGCGGCGACAATGAGAATGGCAAATACCATCAAATATAATCCATATTTCTCAATTTCTCAGGGGGGTGAAGCCACCAAATAGATCCAAACAGTACTGCACTTTCACAACGACCTCGCTGTCGTGGTGTAGATTAGGGAGATCATCACGTTTGCACGTTTGCTTCGTTCATGGTTCCCCGGTGTAAGCGAGTGCATCCTGCATATCTTTAGTGAATTTAGACAGAATAGCATAGATATAGATGCAAAAAACAACGTGAACAATGAATCAAGAGAAGTGAGATGTGAGCTTCATGGAATGCAAGCCGCCGTCAGAGCATTACACCTGCCAGGTGTTTCAGTGACCAGAGATCGCAGAGGTAGATCGATGGCATCCAATCTGAAGGCCGTTTTGCTACGGGTCCATGGGAACACTGGTTGGTTGAGACATATGGGTCCACTTGCGTTGATGGGACCAGGGCGTTCTTGTTATATCTTTTATCTACCAGCAGGTTGAGTGAAGAGTATCACACCTCATGATTGAACTCTGATTCGTTAATGAGTGGGACATTTGCAAGCTGTCTAGGAAACGGCAGGAGGAGCAAATGTGGGTCCGAACATGCGGATGTTTCATTCAAAATTGTTCCGGTGACTGGGGGATGGTTTAGTGCTTTAGGAAATTGTTTTACCCCCTCTTTCCCCTCGTAGCCTCAGCCTCCATGTCCTTTGCTGCTTCGCCATGGCACGACGCGCCCTTGGAGCTGTCGGTGCTGCCGGCGTCGCGGCTCTCGGAGGCGGCCAAGTTGATGGCGGACGCCTTTGTGGATCGACCCAACGTTTGGAGAGCGCATTGGTTTGAAGAAGTGCCTTAAATATGATAGAATTGATAATGGCTATTCATGGCTATTGTACAAAGGAAGTTAATAATATAATATTATATAACATGTAGTATAATATATTATAATATAATGTAATGTAATATAATGTAATATAATATACTATATAATATAACATAACATAACATAACATAAGATAATATACTATAATTTAATATAATATAATTTAATATAATTTAATTTAATATAATTTAATAAAATTTAATATAATATAATATATGAATATACATTATATATATATGATATGTGTATATATGGATACATATATGCACGAATATCAATATATAGGGAATGTTGGAATGGAATGAAATAGACACGGAGAGACATATACAGTCTGTTTCGCCCTCAGCTTTCGCTCAACTCGTGCAGATGCCGATGGAGACACACATAATATGTCGTGTTTGTGTATTGTGTAGTTAGAGACATATGTACCAGTGGTACCGCACAAGGCGGTGGCGGAAGATTCAAAAATAGGAAACCTATAGGAGAGGTTGGTTGTTGTGACTCACGGATGGCAGAGCGAATCCATTGATGAACCGAAAGGTGGTTGGAGTTGTGTTTTCTGGAGTGGTTGCAATGGTTGCAGTGGTCACCTCACCACAACTGTTGGATGTAGTGTGGTGTAGTGCAGTTGTAGTGTAGTGGAGTTGTAGTTGTAAGTTGTAGTCGTAGTTGCAGTTGTGGTAGTAGTGGTGGTGGTGGCGGTAGTAGTAGCAGTGGTAGTAGTAGTAGTAGTAGTTGCTGTTGTAGTAGTTGTAGTGTAGTGTAAATTGATGGAATTGGATGGAGTTAGATGTAATTAGCGCAGTGTAGTCTAAGTAGTGTAATTAGTGTCTGTAATGTAGCGTGGTATATCTGTACCTGTGGTTGTAGTAGTAGAGTGTAGTGGTACTTGTAGTTGTAGTTGCAGTTGTAGCTGTGTCATCTATCTATCTGTCTACCTTCAAGCTTGAAAACGCAGCGATTTTGCGACACTTCCTCAGTTTTTGAACTTGACAACATCCAAAACGAAGCAGTTCTGCGAGACTTCCTCAATTTTGGTACTTGACACCATCCAAAAAGAAGCAATTCTGCAAGACATCTTCAATTTTCGAAGTTGGCAACATCAAAAACGAAACAATTCTGCGAGACTTCTTTCAAATATGGAAAGTTGAGTGCAGAGCTGACGGCCTCGTACCAATGTGTTTTGCGATTTTTTCCACTCCACCTGTCTAAAGTATTGCGCCTGCCACGAAAAAGTGATGCCAGGTCATGCGAAGTGCTGCACCTGTCACGCAAAATCATCTTAGCAAACCTACAGATCTGATGCTCCAAAATGCAACCCCTCCCAGGAAATCAGCGCCCTGACCTTCTAACAGCTCTGATGAACATGTCTCTTGCACTGCGCCTGCCACGGAAAATGCATCTTTGCAGATCCTCTTCAAATATCCCACGCCTGCGATCGGTTTTGGAAATGCTACAAAACCCTCACGTTTTGCTCACTTTTGGCAAGGTACAGAATCCCTTGCGCCTGCCACGCAAAACCACATCTGAACCTTCAAAAGTGGTCCGAGCATGTGGTGTTTTTAACATTTTGACTTTGAAATGTGCTTCGCGCCACAACGGCGTGCGCTTTTTCGACATCTCAACTTCCAAAAGTGGTCCAGACCTGAGGTGCTTTGTACATGTTGACTTTGAAATGTGCTTCGCGCCACAACAGTGTGCACTTTTTCGACATCTCAACTTCCAAAAGTGGTCCGGAGCTGGTGTGTTTTGTGCATTTTGACTTCGAAATGTGCTTCGCGCCACAACGGCGTGCAATAGGACATCTCAACTTCCAAAAGTGGTCCGAACATGTGGTGCTTTGCACATTTTGACTTGGAAACGTGCTTCGCGCCATAACGGCGTGCAATTTTTCATCTCTCATCCGACCACATCGCTCCACACCCGCCGCTTTAGCAAGCCTACTTTTCGACCCTCCGGAGCCACAAATCATGGGAAAAACACAGTGTTTCGCGACTTTCCTACCTTTTCGTACACCTGGATTTTCTTTCTTCGGAGGCTTTCTCTTTTTGATATTCTTTCTTCTTCTCTTCTCTTCTCTGACTCTTCCGTCCATATTGTCGGAAGTTTTTATTTCTAAACTTTCTTCGATAAATACACATGTTAACCCATGTGCATGCTTGTTTGCAGAGGATTTGATACATTTTTGAAGTACCTCCGGCAGATTATATATCCTTGGAAATCATCCAGATTCCACGGTTTTTCCCCGGAGATGCTGCAAAGCATAGACTCAATCGCAGTGGTGGCCCTTCAGGGCGGAAGCCTCCAGTGGCTTCTAGTTGAAATCCCAGGCAATCAGTGGCTCGGCGAACCCTGCAAGCTTTCGACATGAACTGCTTTTGCAGCTGTTTGAACGTCCCTCGGCTTGGCGAGATGTGGCATCCTGTAACTTGACCCAGACCCTGTCCCATACCTGAAAGTAACTCACAACTTTTGCCAAACATTCTGTGCACTTGGTAGTCACTGGATGTCACGTTTCGGTCCTTGGTATTAGCTGACGACGCCCACCAAACCTAGGCTCAAGGGGTCTTACATCATTACTGAGCTTGTCTTTGGTTGTCCTTTCTGATTTCTTTGCAGCATTTTCTTCAGCGCAGGAAACCTTTGGCTGCAGAAGGATTCTGGATGTAGCCGTGTGATACTGCAAGATGGCAAGATTCTGTGCTGCTTCATGTTCGTGCCTCCGGGCACACCTGACATCAGCTTCTTGCCTCTTTGTCTTAGTCATTGCCATCATGTGGGCCACTTGGTCATCGCTGACCTTCCATGATTTTGATGGAGCCCCCCTTTTCATTGTCAAAACATGTAGAAACTCAATCTTGTTGTGTGACGCTGTGGGCCGCGTGGACCACATTGATTACTCTCTAGATAGACTCTAGCAATTCAAGTGCTGAATTTGGAGACCCTCCTGCTCACTGCTTGCATCGATATAGTTAGGCTTTCTCCGAAAATATAATCACCCTCAGATCCCCTGGTTAATCATAATTGCCCGCACTATCCCGCACTAAAAAAGGCATTTTGGGGGCGATCAGACACGCCTACCTGTGTGTGTGTGTGTGAAGTGCAGGCTTCTGGCAGATGTTGCAGGCTGGCATTCTGAAGCTGCTATTGATCTTTGGCCCATCAGCTTTTCGCAGACTGCTGCGCCTCTGATTCAACAGGTTTTGCAAGTCTTCAGAGAAGTTCATGCCCAACAGAGAGAGCCCAAGAAAATGAGGTTGGTTTGCTTCAAGGGATGTAGAGTGAAAATGGGTTTGACTACATACTAGGTCTTAGAAGATGGTGTTTTCTCCGCTTTCTCCTTTGGTTTCCAGTTCCTGTCCCTCGCTCAGGCAAGCAAAGGCTGTTGAGGAGGGAGAAATTAACGTAGAGGGAGCCTACAGACTGGAGCGTGCCGTGGTTGAACTCGCTGCTGGCAGCTGAAAATGTAACGGGGTGTGGTTTTGGTCTTGGTTGTAGTTGTAGTTCTGGTTCTGGTTTTTCTTGTTATTGTTCTTTTCTTCTTCTTCTTCTTCTTGTTGCTGTCGTTGTTGTTGTCATCGTCGTAGTCGTTGTTTCAGAGACTGCTTCATATTTGTTTGTCCAATTAATGATGGACTTAGCCACAAATTCTAGCAAGTGTATGGCCATGACAATCCTGTGCGATTGGGGTACCGGGTACCCTATGTTTCAACAACCCATGTCGGATTCAGTTGTGATGGGGAAGCTCGATCCTTAGAGCTCAGGATCGAGGCTAACTTTTGCTGTAAGTGCATTCTAGCATTTGTTGCACATGGATAAAGATAGCTTTAGAATTACGTAGGTATAGATATTATTATGCATATATATACATGTGTGTGTGATGTATGTATGTAATGTAATGCAATGCAATGTAATGTAATGTATTGTATTGGAATGTATGTACGTATGTATGTATGTGTGTGTATGTATGTACTGTCATGTCATGTCATGTAATGTAATGTAATGTAATGTATTGTGATGTAATGTAATGTAATGTAATGTAATGCAATGTATGTATGTATACATGCCATGTAACGTAATGTAATGTAAGGTAACGTAACGTAAGGTAATGTAATGTAATGTGATGTAATAAAATGTAATGTAATGTAAGTATGTATGTATGTATGTAAGTATACAATGTATGTATGTATGTATGTATGTATACAATGTATGTATGTATACAATGTATGTATGCATGCATGCATGTATGTATGTATGTATGTATGTACTGTATGTAATGTATGTAATGTATGTAATGTATGTAATGTATGTATGTAATGTATGTATGTAATGTATGTATGTAATGTATGTAATGTATGTAATGTATGTAATGTATGTAATGTATGTAATGTATGTAACGTAATGTAATGTAATGTTATGTAATGTAATGTAATGTAATGTATGTAATGTATGTAATGTATGTAATGTATGTAATGTATGTAATGTATGTATGGTGTGTATGGTATGTATGGTATGTATGTATGTCTGTATGTCTGTATGTTTGTATGTATGTTTGTATGTATGTATGTATGTGTGTATGTATGTATGTCTGTCTGTCTGTACGTAGCGTATGTACTGTATGTATGTATGTATGTACGTATGTATGTTTGTATGTATGTACGTATGTATGTATGTATGGATGTATGTATGTGTGTATGTGTATGTGTGTATGTATGCTTGTAATTTCATGTAATGTAATGAAATTCAATGTAATGTAACGTAATGTAATGTAATTCAATGTAATGTAACGTAATGTAATGTAATGTAAGGTAAGTGTGTATGTATGTATGTCATTTTTGTAATGTAAGTATGTCATGTTATGTCATGTCATGTCATGCCATGTAATTCAAGGTAATGTACTGAATGTATGTATGTTTGTTTGTTTATCCGTTTGTGTGTTTGTATGTAATAAATGTATGTATGTATGTCTGTCTGTATGTAATGTAATGCAACGCAATGTCATGCAATGTAATGTAACGTAACGTAACGTAATTTAATTTATGTAATGGTATGTAATGTATGTATGTAATGTCATGTCATGTAATGTAACGTCATGTAATGTTTTGTATTGTAATGTGTATAATGTAATGTAGTGTATGTATGTAATTATGTATGAATGTTCGTATGTATGTATTTAATGGATGTATGTATGTATGTTTGTAATGTATGTAATGTATGTCATGTATGTAATGTAATGCAATGTAATGTAGTGTAATGTCATGTAATCTAATGTATGTATGTCATGTAACGTAATGTAATGAAATGTTTTTTTAATGTATGTATGTATGTTTGTTTGTTTGTTTGCTTGTTTGCTTGTTTGCCCGTTTGAGTGTTTGTATGTATGTGTGTATGTAATGTATTTTATGCAACGTATGTAATGTATGTGATGTTATGTAAAGTATTTCCAATGTAACGTAACGTAACGTAACGTAATGTAATGTATGCAATTAATGCCTGCATGCAAGTAAAGTATGTATCTATGCATGCATGCATGATTGTGTGTAGGTATGTATGTGTGTCTGTATGTTTGTTTGTATGTATGTATGTATGTATGTATGTAATGCATGTAATGTTTGTAATGTATGTAATGTATGTAATGTATGTAATGTATGCAATGTATGTAATGTATGTATGTATGTAAATGAATGAATGTAATGTATGTAATGTAATGTAATGTAATGTAGTGCAATGTAATGTATCGTAAATTAATGTATGTAATGAATGTAATGTCATGTAATGCAATGTAATGCATGTACTTCATGTAATGTATGTAATGTATGCAATGTATCTATGTATGTGATGTATGTAATGTAATGTAATGTATGTAATGTATGTAATGTATGTAATGTATGTAATGTATGTAATGTATGTAGTGTATGCAATGTATCATGTCATGTCAGGCGGGGTCATGTAATGTAATGTAATGTGATGTAATGTAATGTAGTGTATGTTTGTTTGTTTGTTTGTTTGAACCGTCTTGGTGTCTGTATGTATGTAATGTATGTAATGTATGTAATGTATGTAATGTATGTAATGTATGTAATGTATGTAATGCATGTAATGTATGTAATGTATGTAATGTATGTAATGCATGCAATGTATGTAATGTATGTAATGTATGTAATGCATGTAATGTATGTAATGTATGTAATGTATGTGATGTATGTCGTGTATGTAATGTATGTAATGTATGTCATGTATATAATGTATATAATGTATGTAATGTATGTAATGCAATGTGATGTATGTAAGTATGTAATGTATGTAATGTATGTAATGTATGTAATGTATGTAATGTATGTAATGTAATGTGTGTAATGCAATGTAATGCAACGCAACGCAATGTAATGTAATGTAATGTAGTGTATGTATGGTATGCAGTTAATGCGGTGTAATTAATTATTTTATGTATGTATGTATGTTTGTATGTATGTATGTATGTATGCATGCAACGTATGTAATGTATGTACGTATGTAATGTAATGTAATGAAATGTATTGCAATGCAATGCAATGCAATGCAATGTAATGTAATGTAATGTAATGTAATGTATGTAATGTATGTAATGCATTCAATGTGTGTATGTATGTATGTATGTATGTATGTATGTATGTATGTATGTATGAATGATGAATGAATGTATGTATGTATGTGTATGTGTATGAATAATGAATAGAATGAATGAATGAAATGAATGAATGAATGAATGAATGAATGAATGAATGAATGAAATGAATGAATGAATGAATGAATGAAATGAATGAATGAATGAATGAACGAATGAACGAATGAATGAATGAATGAAATGAATGAATGAATGAATGAATGAAATGAATGAATGAAATGAATGAATGAAATGAATGAATGAAATGAATGAATGGAATGAATAAATGAATGAATGAATGAATGGAATGAATAAATGAATGAATGAATGAATGAATGAAATGAATGAATGAATGAATGTAAATGTATGTACGTATGTATGTATGTATGTATGCTTGTAATGTATGTAATGTGTGTGGTGTATGTATGTAATGTAGGAACGGAACGGAACGTCATGTAATGAAATGTGTTGTATGTTTTTGTTTTGTATGTAATGTATGTTACGCATGTAAAGTATGTAATGTATGTAATGCATGTAATGTATGTAATGTAATGTATTGTATTGTATTGTATTGTGTTGTAACGTAATGTAATGTAATGTAATGTAGTGTAGTGTAGTGTAGTGTAGTGTATGCATGTATGTATGTATGTATGTACGTGTGTGTGTGTGTATGTATGTCTGTCTGTTTGTCTGTCTGTACGTAGCGTATGTACTGTATGACTGTATGTATGTATGTATGTACGTACGTACGTACGTACGTATGTATGTATGTAATGTATGTATGTATTTTTCGGTATGTTTGTCATGTTTTGTTTTGTTCTGTTTGTTTAGTTTTGTATGTATGCCTATAATGTAATGTAATGTAATGGATTGGAATGTAGTGTAACGTAATGTCATGTGATTTAATGCATGTAATGTATAGTAATGTAATGTAATGTTATGTTGTGTAATGTAATGCAATGTAATGTAATGTAATATCATGAATTTGCAATGTAACGTAACGTAACGTAACGTAATGTAATGTCACGTAATGTAATGTAATGTAATGTAATGTAATGTAATGTAATGTAATGTATGTATGTATGTATGTGCTTCACTGTTTATATATTTGTATTTTCATATGAATACAGTCCGTTGTTTTCTTATTTGATGTTATTTGATGAATCTTCAACATCTATCCGTCCAACCATCCATCCATCTAAGAGTGTTTTACGGACCACACCCGAGCTCATCCGGGTGGGGTAGTGGCCCGCCTGTCCGCCTAGTGTTGCACCCAGGTATTGAACCCAAGTCTGACGCATGAGGGATGCGTCTTATCCACTAGGCCATACCAGCCATCTGTTTCATGTAAGTGCCAAAGCAAGTGCTGGCTGGTTCCGCATTTACTTTTGAAATTCCTGTCGAGGTATGGTGGTGGAGCCTTCTGTGCAGGGGAAGGGAATCGGTACTCGTGCATTGCAACTTGCACTGGCTGAGTCAGATGCCGCTGGACACCCAGTGCTGCTCAAGACCAATGAGGAACGGTCTCTTGTCATTTGTCATAATTTTTTGTAAGAACTGCTTTCCTCTGGTGTTTTAGCGGTGGATGGGTCGTGGCACAGTTTATAGGCATCAATAGTTGGGTTAATTTAGCCATATTAAGCCACCTGGCATATTCTTCGAATGGGCTAGGAAAATTTGGCTGGTGGTTTCAAAGGTTTGCTAATTGTCCATTCCTACTTGGAACGATGATGCCTAGTTGGCCCTAGATTTTTCACGAGGGTTGGGCACCCCACCCAGCAGCAACTGGCCATTTGTCGCCGAGGAATGTGACCTTCTACCAGAGGCTTGGTTTCGAGGTCATAGGCGAAGCAAAGCGAGAACTTGGAGGCACATACTGTGCATTGCAAACATGCAGCATGCAGATAGCTGATGATAGCGTACATTATGGAGCGTGTGTTTTGTGATGTGTAGGGCCCACCGTCATCCCTTCTTTATCTTTCATTCAGCTTTGTCATGCTTTGTCTTACCAGTAGGATGGAAATATTTCGGGATGCTTTCTTTTCGCAGCCGGGTAGGCGACCCCTACTTGGTTTGGGTCATGGTGCGGCATCCAAAGTCTCCCCCTGGCTGAGTGGAAAAGATGGTGGAAAAGATGGCGTGGAGATGCGGGGAGTGGGAGGGTTTGAGAAGAAAACAATGACTGGAATCAACAATACCATTTTCTCAGCGGCTGGTGTTGTTTCATGTAGTTTAAACTCTTTGCTGTTCAGCTGTGGTTTCTTTACTGTCAAGCAACTCGCCTATACTGCCGGTGGTGGAGTGTTGGAGCTGGGTTGGTCGGTTCTGCATCCATTGTTTAGACTTATTTTTGCTACAGACAGGGTAATCTGCGGCTGTCCGGTCAAGACAGGTCCTGGCTTTCGGTGCTAAATCATGCTTTCTTTGAGAATCTTGGAGAGGAATGTGCAAAATGTTTTCTGAACACAATCCCTGCAAGGATATCCTTAGATGCTTGAATGTCATGTGTCGGCAACGGATCCCATAGGGATTCCTTGGAAGCAAGACCAGGGTTTTCAGATGCTCTCAAGATAAGAAGTGCACTAAGGGCCTCAGCCTTCAGCTGAAAGTTCAGTCTATCAGTCTCACCAATGCTTCGGGGAAGGAAAATACCATTAACTCACACGCCTAGTCAAAGAAAAGAGTTGGCCTCCTCTGGCTTGAACCCTGAACGAGAAACTTGGGTTAGCGCCTGGCGCAGGTATTTCGCCTGAATTAGCCCAAAAGCTCCACCTGCTCATCACCCACGAAATTGCTTTGCAAGCAAACATTGCATCCCATTCCTTTTTGAATTTTGGCTTCAGACAGTAGCCAGATCAAAACAGCAGGACAGCAAGCCTGCAACACCCCTTTGAGACACCAACCGCCATTCCTAAAATGTAAGCATATTGAATCTGTCACAGAAGCTATTTGCACCCCCTCTTCTTCGACTATCCCTCAAGTAGGTTTCTGATGGTTTTCAATGGTATTTGGACATAGCTTTGTTGCAAAAAAATGCAAGGTTTGATACAAAGAATGTGATTTTGCAGATCTGTCGGGATCCCATGTTTGGTTTACAATTGTATATACACATTCAGAATTGCCTCGATGGTTTTCAAGTTCAAGCACTCCAAGCAATTTCAGACTCGCATGCTGGAGCTCCATGCTTGTCCTCGCCCGAGTGTTGGATGTTGGATTGGTTGGAGCCGCGCGCAGAAGTCGCCAGGCGTTGCTAGCACTGTGCCGTGGCCGCTGGTGGCCAAAACTTTGGCCACTTGTGCTATTTTTCAGCTGTCATAGTTCACAAGGGGTCCATAAAAGATCACCAGCAAGACTCGACAATCAAGAAATGTGATAGGGAGCTTCCTAGTTTCACTACAGCCGGCAATAAGACAAAGATGAATGAGGCTGGTAAAGTGTTTCAGACTGACGGATCCATGGCATTCCATGGGCTATCTCTTTTAATATCCTTGGGTTGAGGCGGCTGGTAGCTGCGGATCGGTCGCCCTTGGCAAGCGAAGAAGAGCACCTTGTCGGATTTTGCATCCAAGGGTTATGGGAGATGTAACACCGAGGTTCCACCCGGAGGTTTTCAGCAACTACGATTCTTCAATATTCTTCAATCATCAATGATAATGCTAGAGCAGTCCCCAAAAGGATTTTTATACCGCATCATGATGTATCACTATTTTAGATTATCTTAGTAGGAATTGATCTTTCTATTTGTTTGGGGGCTACTCTAAATGAGATCATCAGCTTTTCGCGGTGCTGCTTTGTTTCCAGCTGACGGTCGATGAGGCCTGCAAGAGGTTGGCATGCCATTTGACACGACGACATGCCCGGGGCCATGAAACTGTGATCTATGAGTTCTTTAGCAACTTGGCCCTCCCGACACTTGAGGCGCAACTAGTTTCAGTTTCTGTAATCTATAAACGTTGCTTTCAGGAAGCACACTGGATGGAGAGGGAGCCGCACAACAGGTCTCCATTTTTGGTTGGTTAAGCTCCGTCTTTGTCGGATTATTGTGACATTGACCTCCTTGAGATGTTTGTCCACTCAATAGATAGTTTTCGGAGACCGTTTGCAGGAGACAATTATATATTTGGCTTCTAAAGCTTGTGGTTTCCGCCATAGATGTTGCCTGAAACACCGTTCCAGTCAAGAGGCTTTTGTTGAGTAAATCCCCCACTTCTGTGCCTTGGACCCACCTCTTTTTGTTCCCCAAGCAGTGTGTCCACACCGAAGGGTTCGTACGGTAAGAGTTAAGGCAAGTTAAGGCCAGTGATTGATCAGGGTGCTCACTCTGGGTTCCGGCTTTTTTCCTGTAAATTCTTGCGTAAGTGCTTTTCGACTGCGCCGGCTCGCACAAAACGCTTGTCGCGGTTTTGGTCTGCGGCATTTTTGCCTCTAAATTCTCGCATAAAATGGCTCTTGTGACATGTCCAAGTGCAAGTCGACCGCGCAGGCTCCTACAAAGTGTGGGCCGTGGTCGCAGCCTTGGCCTGCGGCATTTTACTTGTAAATGTCCGCATAAAATTTCTTTCCTGAGATGTCCAAGTGCATTTCGATTGCACAGGCTCGCACAAACTGTAGGCTGCGGTCTTGGGATCGGTCCTCCTCCTCCACATCATCATCCTCAACATTATCATCTTCCTCCTCCTGCTCCTCCGCATCATCATCTTCCTCCCCTTTGACATCATCATTATCATCATCATCATCAGCATCAGCATCATCATCATCATCATCATCATCATCATCATTGTCATCATCCTCCACTTCATCTTCCGCAACATCATCATCCTCCACCTCATCTTCCGCATCATTATCACCCTTTTCATCATTTTCCTCCTCAACCTCATCCCCCGCCTCATCATCCTCCGCCTCATCATCCTCAACATCATCATCCTTCACCTCATCATCCTCAACATCATCATCCTCAACATCATCGTCCGCAACATTATCATCCTCCTAATCATCATCAGCATCGTCATCATATTCATCATCATCATCATCATCACCATTATCATCGTCATCATCATCATCATCATCATCATCCTCAACATTATCACACATTATCAGCACACACACACACACTGTTTGGGGTCTCTTGCCGGCATCATTCTCTTTGTTGGGCAAACAGCCACCTCTCGACCAATGGTTATACAACTCAGGATTTGGGGTGGTGTTCTGGGGGAATGCCCCGGGGTTGCCCCAAGAACATGTTATCACAAATTATCTATACGGGGGATCACTAAGTGTCACTTGCAGAATTCCACCAGCAAGCCAAATTAAATGACAACGACTGAGATGATGGTGCAGTTATATAGTAAGGGGGCAAAACCCAAAAGTGCAATATTTCAGGCTGGAGAGTTACCATGGAAAAACATCGATATAAACCATCATGGATGAGTGTCACTCATCCATTTCCTCCGTAGTTTCCGTGTTTTCTAATGGCCAACCTTGGTGATTTCGTTGACCCCTGTGACTCAGGTGGTATCGGCGGCCTGCGCCTCGCTTACAACGCTGCCATAAAGTCGGGCTCTGACGACACTGGGGCCAGATTCCGAGCCTATGAGGTGGACGAGGCCCAAGGTATGCCAGGGCTGTCGAAACATGGTTGAAACTGAGGAAGGTGGGTTAATGAAATGATATACATTGATATAGTGATACGGCATACATTCGTATTAAATACTATACCCGTACCTGCAATACATATTTTGTTGTATCGTGCCCGTTCGCCTTTCTGCAATGGTTCTATGACGGAAAAACTCAGCCTTGAGAGGATTTGAGAGGTGGAAAAAACGTTGTGTTTTTTTGCCGCGATGCAGTAGGGAGGTCATGGATAAACAGCAAGTAGCAAGTCAGACAACAGTCTGGTCACTGCTGGGTTGATTGGGGTCAATGTATTTCAGTATGTTTCCGTCATTCTTTGTCCAGTCTTCATTCGTTTCCCCATTGACACCGATATGGCCTGCATGAATGGGATACATGTCATCGAGTTCCATTGTCGCAGGTTTGTTGCCACGTCTACGGAGACCTCTATGGTGCGAGCAAAGTTCTTGCAGCCCGAAGAGAGGAACCATGGAAGAACGCGGAGCAGGAGGACCGTCACCCGCATGCCATGCAGGCCATCATTGCCAGTTGTTGAGAAAACCGTCGGCCACATGGCGACGGCACAGCAGCATGAATGACACTCAGTGAATCTTACTCATCTTATGTATTCATTGTTGAAAGTTGCATAAGTTAGATTGACATATGACTGAATTAGTGTATAAACATACAAACATACAAACATACAAACATACATACATACATACATACATGATCCAAAGCAGTGAGCCGATTAAAGCGTGGAGTTTTTCCAGGAGGATGAACTTTGGCGGTGTTCCATCGACAAGCTTCCAGATGCAGCGTTTGATGGAGCTGATTTGTGGCTGATGAGCCCACCGTGCCATAGTTGCATGGGGTAGGACACGTCCGACCCGGTTCCCTATTAAGAAAGGGTATGGAAGTTGGTGGTGCAAGCGCGCAAGACCAGTCAAAGTAATTCTGTTGATATCGGTGTGCCATGGATTTAATCACTGCTTATGCGACCTCAACATATCTGAAGGAAAAGGTCGTACGTCTATCAAGGCCAAAATGCGTTTCATGTGGTCAGTCTTATAGAAAGTTGGCATTTGCAGATGCACCCTTGTTAGCAAGCATGGCATGTTCTACAAGCTGTTTGCATGGGGATGATATGGTTCCACAATTTTCCAGCTACTGCAGAGTGAAATTCTGCATGCTTGGAGGATCATCCCAGTTAGTAAGCGGTTGACCCAAGCTCATTAGTCCCGGATCCTTGGATTAGCCACGTGTAAATTTTAAATGGGTTATAAGTTATAACCCAATCTATTACCCGGCTCCTAACAATTGTATACATTAGTTTTCTTGTCATTTTCTCATTAAAATTGCAATGGTTTGGTGGTAAGTCCCGATTTCTGACCACACTTACAATCTAGTGTTGGCTATGTACACGGTCAAAATTTAACGTGGAACCCAAAAAATGCCATATCATACCATATGATGCCACATGATGCCATTTGATGATAAGATATGCCATAGCCAGTAGTAATTTAATTTAGGTATCCCATGCTATATCCCATTACAACCTTGGAATGCGACCATCAATATACCCCACTTACAATCTTCCAAGCATATTCCCATCATATGTCCATTCTTTTTCCAAAATGTCCAATCATTTTTTCGGTTCAATTGGGTTATCTGGGATATATCTACGATTCGCTATGATATATTAAAAATATATTCAATAGATATAGGTTTGATGATGTAGACACTTGTGCCCATGGTTTTCCATTGGTCTTCCATTGATTGTCCATCGGATTCCACGGGTGCAACGGGAGGTGCCAACCATTCACCCGCACCGGGCACCGCCGGGACGTGGCGGACCCGCGCTGCCGCGCTCTCCTGCGGCTGGTGGAGGCCTTGCCGTGCTTGAAAGCGCCACCCAAGGCACGGATGGTTATCCGTTTATTTTCGTATATATTTATTGAATTTTATTGATATTCATTAATCTAATTATTTACACATCGATGTGTCTATTTACCTACTGTATCTGTCCCAGGTGTGTGTATATATATATATATATAGATTCTGTTTACAGGTGTTTGAAGAGCCTTGGCAAGCCACATCGATATGTGGCCGTCTACGCTCAAGGTCTCCAGTTGCTTGGCTTGTCGTCTTGGGTTTCGCAGCTGGCTTCTTCGCACGTAGCTGCTATCCTGAGCCCAAAGTTGAGTGCCCGGCTTGTAGCTGTGTTTGTCATTGGACCCCAACTTGGCCTTCGGAAATTACTACTGGATCATTTCCCTACGGCTGGTGTCTTCTCTGTTGCATCTTGGTGATTCTACTACTGGTTAGTAATACTGCTCTGGCTTGTAAAATCACTTGGAAAGACGTGGGCACTGGACAGGACAAAGAAATCCAGATTAACGTGAAGGGCAAATCGAAAGGAGTGTACAGCTCAAATAGAGGGCTTTCTATCACAGGATGAACTTCCAACCAGGTCAAGTTGTGTACATGGACTATGGGGAGGCGCCACCAATAATCCACACACGCATCGTCTTGGGTCACATCACTGGCTTGGAATACCTCATCGAGACTCCAGATGGGGACCGGTATGGTGAAATTTTAGATGGTAGCAATGTCGATTTAGCTGCTTTCTATGTTGGTCCGGATGATGGTTCCCTTCCTCCTGGTTTGCCGGCAGGGGTCAGGGTCTATGGCTTTGCTCCCATGACTCTCCAGCGTTTCAACGCTATGCTTGCTGAAGGGCGAGTGGAGACGTTGGCTGAGCTGGGACGACGAGGCCTTCCGATTCCAGCTGCTCCAGGACAACCCGCAGAGTTTTGGGTGTTAGCCGAAATGGTGGTTGGGCACAAGATCGGTGAGACGGTTCAGGTACATCCCGGTATGGTCCAGGAAGGTGAGTATGGACTCTTTACTATGATGGATGGTGATGGGATGAGTCGTCCGGTTCTGGTCAAGCGGGTTCGAAACGAAGATCTGGCTGAGTTCTGTGACAGTAGGATCACCCTAGCACGGTCTAATGAGAGCATTGCTGGTGAGGATCGTTTTGCAGGAGAAGACGTCAGAACATTATGTGTGAAGTTTGGACCAAATGGTGAAAGATCTAGGAACTTTCAGGACACAGTACTTGAAATGGTTCAGGTAGAGTATGATGACTTTCCCCTTGAACCTCGCACTGCTCTTGCTTATGCACGGGCAGTTGCATCAGTGGCTGAGTCCTCGTTTGCTCAGCATTTGAGCTGGGTGGCACAATCTCGAATCCCAGATGGCGACCGTGCAGTACATGAGAACGAAGTGCTGTCTCGAGCCATCGACTTGGCAGTGTGCTACGACAGTCTCAACATTTCCAATCTTGCATCATTTGAACTTCTGATTCGCAGAAAGCAGTTGCTGGCCGAAGCTCATGCCTACAACCCATCAGCTCCATCATATGAAGGGGCAGATCACTTTCTCGGAACAAGCTACCGTCCAGGGGGCGGAATCGTAGTGCCCGAGTTGACCGAGCACGTGGCGAAGAAACTGCACCAAGAGAGCCAGATTCTCAAAGAAAAACGCCAGCAGCAGGAGGCGAAAGGAGGCAAGAAAGGCAAAGGAACTAAATCAGGCCCTGCAGCACCGGACAAGGGTGCGGGGGCCAGTGGCAAGTGAACTTCGAGATTGCCCCCACTTTGTGACCGAGGGTGGTGGCTTCTCCTTACATCGGTCGTGCACGACACCTTTGAATAGCCTCTTAGAATTTTTCAGTTTTGTTTTCACTTGGGGATGCCTCGAGGACACACTAGCCGGATTTTTCATGAGCCCTGCCCTGATGGTCGCCAACGTGACATTTTCCCTCTGCCTGCTTTGAGAAATGTGGGGGCAGTGCAGGGCTTCGTGTGTCGGGCAGCGAAGAAACGTATCCATCGAAGGCAACAGGTTACCTCCCGAGTGAATCAGGCCATACGTTCTTTGAATTCATTGTTTTTTGGTGGTGATGGGACTGGAGAATTGGTTGTAGACAGTTTGCAATCCCTTCCATTGTCTCAGCGGCTGTGCATCCGGGACCTCATCAAGAAGGTGAGAGCCTTCGGCAGCTGCCCCACTGGTGCAAGCAACTCAGAAGCCCTCAAGGCGCTTCGAGTAGCCGGCAACGGGTATGAGGAGCCTCAAGCCGGCGTGGGTGCGGTCGTGGGAATGAAACTCGACCAGTTATCCCTTCCTAGCTCTAGTGTTGCAGGAGTCGTTTTGGAGGATGCGTTGGATGGCCCCCTACAAAAACTAGTAGTTGATTTTGAAGATTGGATGCTGCAAGATGCTAGTACTTGGAGTCAGATTTGTGAGGATGCCTATAAGATCAAGCCTTATAACGATCCTTCTCTTCAATCCAAGCAGGAGTACATTTCTTTCCTCAAGTTGTTGCGAGAGCGTGGAATTCTAGGTTTTAGCAATAGCTGCAGGGGGCGAGTTGGTACTTTCTGCGTGTCGAAGAAGTCGAAGATCATCAACGGAATTGAAACACCCCGTCAACGCCTCATTCTCGATTGCCGTCAGGTGAACATGGCCTTTCGTGAACCTCCTCGTTGTGAGCTGGGCAGTCTTGCTGCCATGTGCAACTTGGAAATTCCGGAAGGCGAGACCATGTTTGTCGGGGGGGCCGATATTCAGGATTGCTTCTACGCTGCTCAGATTTCACAGGAGCTTGCCAACTACTTTTGTTTATCGCATGATTTACATGTACATGAAGCTGCAGAGATTTGGGGTTCTGACTTTCCTCTCAACGGTTATTCTGGTATGGTATCTCCTTGTATCACTGTTCTCCCCCTGGGTTTCAGTTGGTCTTTCTACATCATCCAGAAGCTACATGAGCAAAGTGCCCTTCGTTCACTTCAATCAGATCGTAATGGTTTAATACTCGAAGGATACCCTCCACCTCAACTTGAGAAGAACACTGCCTGTGCTATGCCTTATTGCGACAACCTTCACTCGATTTCCTTGTCTCGAGAAGCCTGTGATTCAGGGTTGGAAGCGATGAAGAGCGACCTCTCTGGCATGGGTTTCTTTGCATGAGGAGGCTCCAGCCAGTGAGATGTTCCAGACATTGGGTGGTTTCATCGATGGTCAACAGGGTATTGTCAGACTTACTCCTAATAGGACCTGGCATATTTTATTGGCTTTTGAGAGCTTGTTGCAGGGTAAGGTATATTGGGAAGATGTTCGCAGATTGCTGGGGCATGCTATTACAGTTTGCGTGTTAAACCGGTGTGGCATGAGTATTTTCAGAGCTTTGTATGACTTTGTAGAGTCCAGACCTCCTCCTCGGAAGTTGAATTATCGAGAACTTCGTGAAGTCAAAATTTTCGTAGGACTCCTACCTCTTCTTTATGGTGACCTACGTAAGTCGTGGAGCAGTCAGGTATTGTGTTCGGATGCTAGTCCTTTTGGTTTGGGATTATGTCTTCGAGAGATCGAACAACAGCAAGTGAAGCAGATTGGGCAATGGCAGGACAAGTGGCGCTTCCGTCACCTGGATCCGAGTGAGTGGCGACCTCGTCAACGCTCACAAGGACCGAATGTTCTGTCGGATTGGCGTTCCGTGCTGGGAGAGTTAGAACCTGAAAGTGTAGAAGATCTATATTCATACAATGAATATTTTCCAGAGGTCCCTTCAGAGTGGACCGAGCCGTCCAAGTGGAAGACGCAGCTGATGGGCCGATGGAACGATACTAGTTCACACATCACTGAGAAAGAGGGTCACGCTCTGGTTTTGGCAGTTCGGCATTTGAGTAGGGCATCATACAATCGAGGTAAGAAGCACCTGGTTTTAGTTGACAATTTTTCTCTTAGCATGACTGTGTGTAAAGGAAGAGCTTGCAGTTTTGGTTTGCTACGTTCCGCTCAAAAGATTGCTGCCCTTAGCCTTGCATGTGATTTTTCGATCCACACTCGATGGATTAGCTCAGAGAGAAATGTCGCTGACAACCCGTCCCGCGGGGTCATCCTGCCGGGTGTTGCGCCTTCCAGCTCATCAAAAGTCGAGTCCGAGTTTGAGTCAGTCCACACGATCAGTGGTGAAGCCAGTGCAGCTGTCGAGAAAGCTGACCACCAGAGTGATTTCGACTGGTACAGCTGCGATGGCTACACAAGAAGCCAAGAAGAGTCAGAGCTCCAAGAAGCGGGCTCTGCAGCATCCTGGCCCTGTCCTTCAGCAGCCGGGGAAGAAGAGAAGGATCATCTCCAAGAAGACCCAGGTAACGAGTGGTGCCGAGAAGTTAGCCACGAATCATCATCTGAGCCACTTGGAGAGGAGGTCCATTTCAGTAGCAGTGGAAAACCAATATGCAGAATACTACCAGAAGTTCGTCAGTTTTTGCCAGGCGGCAGGGGCACCACTGCCTCCCTTAGGATCCGTCGACGACATCTTGACAGACTTTCTGGACCATCTGTTTCTGGAGGGAAAAGGAGTGCACGAAGGCGAGAAGACCGTGGCCAGCTTGGAGTTCCATCACATAGCATTGAAGGGAAAGCTGGACCGTGCAAGAAAGGCACTTCGTGGGTGGCGAAAGGAGCGACCACCAGAGTCCCGCATCCCCATGCCAAAGATCATAGTCTATGCCTTGGCGATGTTGCTCCTGGCCCGGAGACAAAGGGCAATGGCGTTGAAGGTGATGATCGACTTCGACACCTACATGCGCCCAGGAGAGTCTTTGGACCTTCGAAAGCGACACTTCATCAAGCCCGTAAAGCAGGCGGGCCTTCAGTACCGTTGGTTCTCCATCATTGTTCGAGACTTCGACGACCAGCAGCCCGACAAGGTCGGAGTCTTCGACAACTCGATCCCGTTGGACAGCAAAGAGCGGATGTGGCTCGGCGAAATTCTGAATCATCATGTGCAGACCTTGAAGGACAACGAAGCCCTGATCTTTCCATTCTCAATGGAGAGCTATCGAAAAGAGTTCACCAAGGCTGCCACGAGACTTCAGATCAAGGGGCTACACCCCTATCAACTACGACACGGAGGGGCAGCCGACGACCTATGCAGCAAACATAGAGATTATCCAGGTGTGAAGCAACGAGGAAGGTGGGCCACGGACCAGAGTGTTCGTCGCTACACCAAAGTTGGGAAGGTGCAGCAACTGCTGAACCTGTTGCCCAACGGTGCCTTGGAGTACTGTCAATGGTGTCACCGAAATCTGGAGAAAGTGATGCGCGGCCAAGCTCAAGTGAAGGGCTTTTGAGATCTGAGAGGGACGTTTTTAGTGAAGCATCATTGCCTCGGCGTTTTGGCTTGGAGATCTTCGCTGGTACAGCTCGCATTTGCAAGTGTTTCAATGATAAGCACATGCCTATGTATCCCATTGATATATGTCTCTTCTCACATCACAATGTCCTGGATAAAGCTGTGGAGCATCGCATTTTCAATTGGATTCGTTCTGGACGTATTTGTTTTATTTGGTGTGGTATGCCTTGTACTTCATTTTCACGTGCTAGAAAGTGGGATGGATTAGGCCCGGGACCAATTCGAACTCCAGATGCGTTGTGGGGGCTGCCGAACTTGAATGCCTCCGACCGAAGAAAAGTAATTACTCACTGGTAACAACCTCCTCCTCTTCACTCTTCGTCTTCTAAAGCTTTGTGAACGTTGTCATGTACCTTATGCTTTGGAGAATCCATTGTCTAGCATGGCTTGGGATATTGACAAGATGAAGATCTTCATTTCCACATTTTCTCCTCAAGAAGTTTTCTTGGATTATTGTCAGTTTGGCGAAATCTGGAAGAAACCAACTAAACTGCTGACTCATGGTTGGGCCTCCTCACGTCTGCATGTACGATGTGAGGGTAGACATGGGCGTTGTAGCAAAACCAACCGTCAGCATGTCCCGCTGCGAGGACTAGACTTCAACGGCCTTTTCATGACCCTCCGTGCTCAGCCGTACCCTTGGCAGATGGCAGCGCTTGTGGCTGAGCAAATGCGGTCTCTTTGGCCAAGATCCTAGTTAAGGGATATGGGAGAGGATTTTGATTTGAAGATATATCGTCATGACACCTTTGGCAGTGCAGACCATTTTCAATTGCACTTATGCCATGCGAGTCAATCCAAACAACCAGAGCTAATAGCTCTTTCTGGCCACTTGGAAAAGAAAGTGGCGGACAGTGCGGGTCATAGATTCTGTTTACAGGTGTTTGAAGAGCCTTGGCAAGCCACATCGATATGTGGCCGTCTACGCTCAAGGTCTCCAGTTGCTTGGCCACCGCCACCCCTCCATCCTCCTAGTTTAAAACTTTAAGGGGAGAGGATTTTGATTTGAAGATATATCGTCATGACACCTTTGGCAGTGCAGACCATTTTCAATTGCACTTATGCCATGCGAGTCAATCCAAACAACCAGAGCTAATAGCTCTTTCTGGCCACTTGGAAAAGAAAGTGGCGGACAGTGCGGGTCATATATATATTCATGTGCAGTATGTGTAATATACGTCTCTCTCTCTCTCTCTCTATGTCTTCTGTGTGTGTGTAACCCGCTATAGCATGCGGTTTTTCTGATGTACAGATAGCACGAACACTGCTTTCAATTGTTCTCCAGGGTGGGGTGGGGAGGGTTTGGGAAGGTTCAAAATAAAGCATGGGGAGGGGTTTGGGCTGCCCATGAACGAACCATGAAAAGGGGGTTGGCTGTTTCATTGTTCGCAAGAGTGAGATGAAAAGGGTTTGGGAAGGCTCAAAAAATAAGCATCGGGAGGGGTTTGGGCTGCCCATGTGCGTTCCAAGAATGGCGGAAAGGGTGTAGGATGGTTTAGGAAGGTCAAAACAAAGCATGAAAAGGGGTTTGGGTTTTTCAAGGTTCCCAAGAGTTTGGTCGGACGGGTTTCGAGGCAGTGCAACGCGCACCTCAACAACTTCTTGTTGTTGAGGTGTGTTGGGAAGAAGAATTTAACACATGAGATGGGACTTCCAAGGTGGCAAGTGGCAGGTACCCAGGAAGGCTCAAAATGAAGCATGGGAAGGGGTTTGGGCCGCCCACGCTTCCCAAGAATGGGGTGGAAAGGGTTTAGGCTGGTTTATCACTAGGAAGTGTCAGAACCAACCATGAAAAGCGGTTTGGGTGCTTCTAGGTTTCCAAAAGTGGGGCGGGAAGGGTACGGAGGTCGTCCAATGCGCACCTCAACAACTTCTTGTTGCTGAGGTGTGTTGGGAAGAGGAACACATGAGATGGAACTTCCAAGCTGCGAATGGAAGGCACCGAGGAAGGCTCAAAATGAAGCATGGGAAGGGCTTTGGGCTGCCCATGCTTCCCAAGAATGAAGTGAAGAAAGGTCAAAACGAGCCATGAAAAGAGGTTTGGGCGTTTCATGATTCGCAAGAGTGGGGCGGGAAGGCTTTGGAGGCGATTCAATGCGCACCTCAACAACTTTTTTTTGTTGCGGTGTTTTGGGAAGACGAATTTACCACATGAGATTGGACTTCCAAGGTGGGAACTGGCAGGTACCGAGGAAGGCCCAAAATGCAGCATGGGGAGGGGCTTGGGCTCCCAAGCATGGGGTAAGGGTTTAGGATGGTTTAGGAAGGGTCAAATCAAACCATGAAAAAAGGGTTTGGTTGCTTCATGGTTCCCAAGAGTGGGGTGGGAAGGGTTTGGCGGCGGTTCAATGCGCACCTCAACAACAACTTCTTGTTGCTGAGGTGTGTTGTGAATAGGAATTTACCACATGAGATGGGACTTCCAAGATGGGAAATGGCAGGTACTTAGGAAGCCTCAAAATGAAGCATGGGGAGGGGGTTGGGCTGCCCATCCCAACAATGGGTGGAAAGGGTTTAAGCTGGTTTAGGAAGGGTCAAAACGAACCATGAACAGGGGTTTGGGTTTTCAGGGTGGGGTAGGAAGGGTATGGAGGTCGTCCAATGCGCACCCCAACAACTTCTTGTTGCTGAGGTGTGTTGGGAAGAAGAATTTAACACATGAGACTTCCAAGCTGGGAATGGCAGGTACCCAGGAAGGCTCAAAATGAAGCATGGGGATGGGTTTGGGCTCCCAAGAACCGGGTAACGGTTTACGATGATTTAGGAAGGGTCGAGACGAACCATCAAAAGGATTCAAAAGGGGTTTAGGTTTTTCAAGGTTCCTCAGAGTGGGGTGGGAAGGCTTTGGAGGTCGTCCAATGCACAGCTCAACAACTTCTTGTTGCTGAGGTGTGTTGGGAGGAGGAATTTAGCACATGAGATGGGACTTCCAAGGTGGCAACTGGCAGGTACCCAGGAAGGCTCAAAATGAAGCATGGGGAGGGGCTTGGTCTGCGAATCACGTTCTAGTGGAAATTGGAACGGGGATTTGACTCGCTCACTTAAGGAGTGAAATCTGGGGTGCCTGAGTTGGTTCACATGACATGTTCGCTGCAAACCCCACCTTTGCCTGCCAGGGATCCCGCATATCCTTTGACATGCTCGAATCCCTGCATAGGGCGTAAAAGCCTAAAAGCCTAAACCGTAAATTGAAACCCTAAATCCTGAAAACCTAAAGTCAAATCGCTGCGTATAGCCAGTGTTTTCATTCATCCTCTGGTGACAAGTATATGATATTGATATGATATTGTTTGGGTGTGTTATTTGGGTGTGGGCGAACGTAGGGTTTGCAGGGGACATGTTGTGCATCTTGGAGAGCCCAAACAATTGCAGAGGTCCTGTGTCATGTTTTTGTTTTCGAGGCACTTTACAGATGACACAGGACTTATGCATTTTTCTGATTTTTTTCACTTTGCACATGACATGGGAGTTTGCGTTTTTTGGGTGTGTCCGACTACTCCCGCGTCATCTGCAGGTACTATAGTTATTATATTGATCCGTACATTTACGGGCTGAACTGATGGACGGAGAGATATGCAGCCAACCAAAATTACCAGAGGTTCCCACAAGAAAGAATGAGAAATGAAGTCTTCCACCACAACGCGATAGAAGCACTACGGACATATGGATATGATGGGATATGGTGTTGGAACTTTGACCAGCAATGGAGGAGATGGCAAACCAAGATTGGGATCCAAGTTCTTCCCACTGGCAAAATAGACCATGAAGTGCTGGATTTACGGGATCACATTTTTGGAACATCCACTTGTTAGGAGTGGCAGTATGAGAACCGATACAACCGCCGACTCGCAGCTTCACAGCAGGGCCTCTTGCTTGAGAATGTGGTGGGTTTCCAGCACTCAGAGGCTCATCGACGGCTGAGATTTGCTTTGGAGCAATCTGGCTATGAAGTCTTTGAGAATCTTGTCTTCAAGCTGCTGTCCCTGAATCTGCTGGGGCATATCTCCTTCAGCTGCTCACCATCTCACATACCACTTCGCCATGTAGAAGGCTGATGACCGCTCATCTAGCCATATATGTGTTGATTTGTTGCGTCAACCGGTGTTTCACAGTTGTTCACTAGAGCTCCCACAGTTGAAACTTGGTCCAGGGCGACAGGCCATTTCTTCATGGTTCTTCACCTTGAGACTTGGCAAGGCGCCATGCCTTCCTCCCAAGGACTGTGTTGGATCCTCGAAACTTTGGTTTCCCCAACACGCGGCGGCGCTTCTATCTCTTGGCCAAGCGGATCAAGCGATCCAACGGGCTGCTCAGCGGAGCTCACAGCGACCATGGCTGCCCGGATGGGCCACCAGCAGTGCCACCTCAACGCGTGGATCACTTCTTAAAGGTTCAAGGGGCCTGAATGGCAAGTTGGGAATCTCTTACTGTGTGTGCTTTGGATTAACGATATAATAATGTGGATTACATTTATTTGGTGATTTACGCCAAACATAGCTACTATGATCTATTGGGTGAACCTTGGGATTGTATCGGGAGATAAACCAACCATATAGTGGAGATTATTACACTTCAAATAATGGGTATCGATGGGATAATTATTAATTGGGTCAACCAACTCAATGGGCACTTCAGTAGTAACACTAACTAATCGTTTGCTTCAATCGGGATTTACTACCATAACAAATTAATAATACTATATATATATTTATTTATTTATGTATTTATTTTACTAAATATATCTATGTTTTTAATATATTATTTTTTACAATATATTTTTTATACAATATACTATCTATAGATTAATATATTATTTATAGGTTGTAATATATTATTTTTAGATTATATAGTATATTCCATATGATTGATTATATATAGATTCTTATATTTTATATATAGATTATAATATATTATATATAGATTATATTATATTATATTATCTTATCTTATCTTGTATTATGTTATATTATATCATATCATATTATATATTTTATTTTATTTATTATATATATTATCATTTACTTTTTATAATATATTCTTTGGAATATATGTTTATAATATTTGTTTTATATATATATATACAGTCTTTTTGATTGCAGGGCATCTAAGACTTGTCCTGTGATAAGAGTGGTGTCCGAAGCAGAAGCTCTTCATTCACTGGTTGAAATGCTAATCTTCACAGGGGCTGGGTGCTGCGTTCATGGAACTGTTCCATGCAGGAAGCCCATGACCTGCGGATGCGCAATGCACTGCAAGTGCCTAAAGCCTTGCTGGAAAAGGCCTTTGTGGAAGGTTGGGCCTGGATGGGTCATGGTGAAAACTCTAAGAACTAAGCTTGTCAGGGTGAGTGATGAACATTGGCTGCTTTGTGTGTGTGTGTTTGCGAAGAAGAAAAAAATGAAATTCCAAAATATCCTCTTGGAATCGTAGTCAGTGTTGTCGTTTTGCGGTTTCCGGCAAGAGTTGAAGCCCTGGTTTGGAGGGGCCAACCTGCCGCTTCAGAACACAAGGTGAAACTGTATTTTTTTCATACAGATATGGATGATTTTACCTTCACAACGATCTGTTGAACATACGAGTTGCCCATAGCTTCATATAAATATTGTTTTTTCATCTCAATGAATTTTCAACACGCATCAAGCAGCTTCAGCCTTTGATCCCACTTGGATCCATATCTGTTTGTCTGAAAATTGGATGCCTCAAACCAGATAGAGACGAAAGAGGGAGAGGGAGAGAATCCCAAGTTGAAAAAAATGTTTGGACTTTGCAACTGTTGAATGGCCATAAATTGGGGACCCACCCCATTCCAAACCCATCTGAAGGTTGGCAGTTGGACCTGGCTGTTGGCAGTTCCTTAGTGACTAAGACCTTCACGGGAAGCTATGGGAAGTTGGCCTATGGCGCTGAAGGGCTCAGCATGGCCGGGCCCCTGCTGCTGGATGCTGAAGGGAAAGCGCCAAGGTGGCTCGATTCCACCAGAGGTTTCAGTTGCCAAACCTTCACCTGATTACAGACGAGTTATATGACAGGAGATCTAAACCAGTCCAAAGAGCCTCAGATCATTCCAGCTGAAACCTGAAACCTGAGGACTCGCTTCGCTTTCCCAAAGCCTGAGCAGTGGAAACATGTGCGTTACTTTTCACCAAAGGAGATGGCCAATCTCATGGGTTTTCCTGATGATTGGTCCCTGCCAGGCGCTGGGGCTATGATGAAATGCCTGATTTTCATCATGCATCTAATGTAATTGAGGGAGATCTCGATTCGTTCCTCATGGACACATTGAATGATGGCCAACAGACCAACACAAATTCATTATGTCACTTTGTTTGAAAAGACCTACAGTCAGCACGAGGGAATCATTGCAAATATTGCCAAACTGCTAGTTTTGTAGGCTTTGAAGGGCGACAGTCGCAACACAAAGCTTCACATTGACTGGTGCAGGCCGTTTGAAGTGCCGCACGCAATGGCGGCTGGTGGGGAATTCTGTCAATGTCGCTGTGGTCACCAGCCTTTTGAGACGTTTGCTGCGATGGATTGGGGACCCGAAAGCATCGGATCGCCAAGATGACCGCAGTAATCTAAAGTGATAGTTTTGGGATAGCCGGATGGCCCACGAGCAGATGGTTTGCATGTGCTCGCAGCCGCTTTTCCATCGCACTTCTTAAAGCTTGATCGGAGGATAAAAAGAGCTGGTGCTTTCGCCTGCCGTTCTCCCGGATGAGAAAGATGAGGGACTTTCCCAGATGTTTACCTTGCAACTCACATGGTGCAACTTTGAACACCTTATTCAAGAAATTTGTTGTGTGCAAAAGGGCTGAAGCTAGTGAACCATCCTGCTGCACTCCCTCAACTGGACACATCCAAAGCATCCAATCCCATAAATTGTATATTACTTGCATATATGTAATTTTTGAAAAAATGATGAAAATAGATAGGGCACCCCAGAATCCCAATGGTCTTTCATCATTTTTCCCCACACACAAAGCCAACAGATTTATTACCGTAATGTTGCATTAAAGTGCCATATGTTGCCTAAATCCCCTACTTCGCCACAAACCCATGCAATGTCCTCAACCCCGATAGGTTGAAGAAGTTCTCCATGTCGACAACGCCGACAACTACCTGCGTTACGCTGCGAAGCGGCTGGGCATTGGCATGGCTTTGACGGTCTGGGCCGGTCATGCCATGGGGGATCATGGCGGACATGGCTGGTACTTGATTGCTTTTCGTGTCCATGGGGGGAAGAAATGAAAAGAATGGAGGGTTAATTTGGCAACAAACCATTGGTAAATCACGATGGTTTGTTGTTGGGTTTACCAAATTATGCTTGATTCTGAGGACACTTAGCTATGCAGCATGTCACACGCATAAGTTCCATTCTCTTTGCTCCACTGGTATGTCGCTGGGACCGAGGCGCCAAAAGATCCGGAAGGATTTGGAGAACAAAGCACTGAGCGGCACGGCCCCTGAGCTGCACGGATATCATGAGTGCCCCTGGTTTTGGTTGGTGGAAACCATTGAAATATATTGAAATCAGCGACAAGAACGTCCCTTGTGGCGTTGTTTTGGTGGATTTCCGTGATGCACTGTGCAATGATGAGTTGCCATGGTGAGTTGTTTCGACACCCATGATCCATAAGTCATTGTCACCGAGTGTTTGTCAACTACTTTGCCCATGCAGGTTCACGTGTGCATAAACCATCCCAGTTATCATCAAGTAAGCGATCCTTAGGGCACAAAGGGATTTCGTGCCCTTGGCCCAGGAGATTCTTCCACCAGCTTCCTCGGCGCCGGCATCAGGGAAATCTCCTCACATCAAGACCCACGAGATTTCCTTGAAGGTGGCAAGTGGGAGCTGGACAAAATGGCGGACAAGAGACGCCACTGGCGAAAACTGATTGTTAGTCTCAAATCTTCATGATCTTCATGTTGTGTCCAAATATTCAAAAGCTAAAACACGACTTTCGCCCATCCCTGGCGTGACATGCAGAACGACAGAGTGGAAGAGAGAAAGAGAGAGAGAGAGAGAGACACAGAGATAGAGACAGAGACAGAGACAGAGACACAGAGGTCAAGTCATTGACTCAAGCATGCTTAAGAGAGATCGTGATCGGGTTTCTGCAGATTTTGGACGGCGGTTTGTGGACGTTGATCCGAACGTCGCAACCTGCATCAGGGAGGCGACATGCTTTCGGGGTATGAAACTGGGACATCCTCAACAAGGTAACTACTCTATAGAGTCTGTATGGAGTAAGTCAAGATACCTTGCAAGCCCCACAATTGAAAGCCATGAGATGAGTCCATTTCTGCCAGGGCTTGGTGTTTCATCCCGAAGAGCCCATCGATTTTGATCTCCAAGAGAGTTGGCTGTGGCACGGGTTGCTGGGCACAGATCTGCCAGATCCCAGGTAAATCGCAGCGACTAGTGGGACAGGGCATCAAGGAAGAAACGTCCTCGACGAAGAATCACATTTGGCCATTTCTGGAATCACCCCTGAGCACCCAAAAAAAACCTTTGCGGGGGTAGATCAAAAGGGCTGACCATCCGGAGGTTCCTATGACACATGGCAGGGCATGGCAAGGCATTCCCCGATTGACTCGCTAAGGACAAGAAAAGAAGGAGTTGAGGGAATCACAAGCTCTGACTTTGACATCAAACGGGCTGGCTCAGCCCCTTGCTTGGATAGTGCTTCGCTATGTTTCACTACCATAAAGTGGGTACTCGGTAAAATAAAAGACTACACGTCTACAAATTTCTCTTGAAGAAGGCAGGGCTCCAGATTCCACACAAGCTTGATTTTGGCCATGGCACGTAGACTGGCATGCCTTGGACGTCCACACTTCGTTTGTCCTCCTTTTCAATTTTGCCGCCAGTTCGGGCCCAGCCCATGCAATCATTTGCATCCCACCGCATCATCATGCTCATACAAGCCTGGCGTGATTCCTACCCATGCAGGGGTTTGCATGATTTTGCTGTCTTCCAAGAGCTGGTTGAAACTTCCATTTTTGGTGGCAATCCACGGCTTTCTTTTTCAAAAATCCCTTCAACCCATTGGTGTTTTGCTTGGTGCTCAAACCTCCGTTGTGTTTTTCAGGCTGCCGGTACCATGTTTGGCCGTGGGCTCTACTTTGCTGAGCTCCTTGATGGGGGAAGGGCAAAGGTCACTATATACGGCAGTGGACAAGACAGTTGCATGCATCTAAGCGGGTAAGAGATGATAAGAGTAGCAAGCAAGGTAACCAGTAAGATAGAAGATAGAAAGATAGATGTTACAGCAGATTATGTGACATTAGATCGCATTCGAATCAAGGGAAAATTGCGCAGGATGATGCAGGGTCAAAAGAACTTGCTTTCATATTTGCTGGCAATGTAGATAAATGACTAGTCTAGTCAAGTCTATTTGCTTCATGCGATGCGACTGGCACCCGTGACCTCCCAAAAATAGCATGGAGTATCATGACATGTGCTGGTAAAGCTCGTTTTCCCTGCTGTTTTCTCTGCACGGGTCGTAGCCTTGGGCCGCCTGGGGCCAGATCTTAAGGAGTTGCATGAAGTCTGATGAGTATACCGTGGCAGATGAGAGGCCTTCCAGTGGTGAATTCAGATCCACTAAGTCACAAAAAGTGGAGCATGGCACGGCTGTGGCTCGCATGTAGCGTTACCATGTGATTCTGAGCAGCTTTAGCATTGAAGATAAAGCTCATCAAGTCAAATCAAGCCATTGATCACGGATTCTTCGGCACCAACGTTTCGGGCCTTTCAGACCGCCAAGTTGCACGGCTCCAGGGGTTGGTACCCATTGATTCTTTGCCGTGTCACCTGTGGCCGATTCTTCTACTGTGCCTTGGCCGTGAAATCGATTCCACAGTGGGGTTTCAGCTGGTTTGACATACCTGGGAAAGTCCATGTTGCGAGTCGATGGGTTTAAGATTTCCACGCCCTTGGAAATCTCACAACATTGTGCAACCTGCACATTTCCAACACTAGCCGGCTTTGAGCCTAGCATGATGTTCGAATCACATAGTGGAATGGACTGGCAGAAGCCAGAATTTTGGGGGCAAGGACTGCAAAGACTTCCGTGCTGGAGCCCATCACATCTGGCCATGTTGCTGTTAGGTGATTGGAAACGTCCATTTGACCACACGGACCAGCTTGAGGACAGCAGCGCCCCCCCTTCAGTTCCTGGCACGTTGCCTTCCCTGTGCTGTCGCCAGGACGCATGTCATCACAAGGGCTTCCACTGTGTCCTGGGAGACCGAGAGAAGGCACGGGCATGGAGAGACTTCCGAAGCCGCGGTTTACCTCCTGAAATCGTCCTTGAAATGGTGGGGTTGGAATGGTTTGGGTCTTTTTTTGTTTTGGTGGAGCGTTTAATTTTGAAACATACCTAGGCCAAACCTTCTAGCATCAGGAAAGACCAGCCAACGGCAGGTCTCTGGCACATACCGGGAGTACATTGTCTTTGACAATGACCAGGTGGAACGAGTGGCTGTTTCACTCAAGGGCACATGACTTGGCAATGATATGCTGTCAATTGGTTCTGGAATGTTCTGGAGTCCTCTTGGGAATCAGTGCTGATTTGTTAAGTTCAGAGGTCTTCCTTTGTTCTTGGTTTCTCTCCCTTGGCATGATCTCAATCTCCTGACTGTGTGCCCAATTTGTTGTTGAAAAAAATACAGTAAGTGAATAAATAGATACACACACACATATATATATATTATAATATATCATATGGTCAACAACCACGGTCATGGTGGTAGCAGCTAGTACCCATTTTTAGTGACGGCTCTCAGCTGCACAGGTGTATCCGGAGTACATCGTTTGGCACCCTGACATACAACGAATCACAAGTGCCAGCGGTCGACAAGAATCCTGGGAGTCCTGGAACCCTGTGTTCCACTAGTCTCCGTCTGGAAATGGCTTCTCGAAATGGCCACTTCAATGGGAAAAATGAATGAACATATGATTGACCGATTGACCATGCAAAATTTGGGGTACAGTACCCTATTTTCAGACAAACCCAATTGCTCTTGAGATTTGTTGGCTATGGTTGACCGCATCTAGTGTGAAAGTGCTGTACCTTCTCACAGTCGGGAACATTGTGGAGTTGCAAAGGCGATACTGCAATGATGCAATGCAGCATAAGGTAATCTTGAAGCATTCTCCATGTCAAGATTTTCGTTACGGGCGTGCTGATTGATATTCCCACGTCATCCTAAGCCCATCACGGGAGCCGGAACCACTTAGCTTTTGTTGGAAACTAGCTGTTGGGACATGTTCAGAATCAATTCTCGGAAATAGATTAAATATGTTAAAATGATATTTGATAGCGTAAATCTATATAGACACAATCGATGTTGCTACAGCTCATGTGCTTCAAAAAGATGCAGCAAAGAGACCAACTCTGCATGCTCCACGACACCTTGTAGCAGAGATCCCGGTAGCTGCGTGTTTATCCCAGGTATAGCAAATGAGCATCCAACATCCAATGTACATTCATCGTGCTGAGGACCGTTCACAGGGTCAGAACTTGCTGATGTCCTCAGTCGGCAGTTTGGACGAGAAGCCAGATCTATTCATAGCGACAAAATGCCACGAATACGATGGAGACATGAATGGATGTGACTGGAAGGATTTGTCACCCGAGATACCCAAGGCATTGAGCATGGTTGATGTTTTATGATGTTTTTGGGTGTACTGAAATCGTCTCCCCGCAACCTTGACTGAGCAGCCACAGGAGCACCTTCATCTCCTCTTTGACGTGCACCACTGCAGAGGATTACTGAAGGTGACTCTTTGCCTTTCTGGTTATATCAACATCCACTGCAGGTTCGCACCAAAAATCTCAGCACTTGAGGCATTGCAACAACCTGGATCTCAGACAGAACAACAAGATATATTGTTGTTCAAGTATGGAAGGCCAACCAGCTTCAAATCGCTCGAATTTCTCCCATGGATCTCACGTGCGTTACCTGCATGTTCATTCCTGCGTTTATCTCCGGCAATTGCCGAGATCTTGCCAGTCTTTTTGGCCATGTCTGCCTGGTGAGGTTGTTACCATTTGATGGCCACGGGATCCACAAAGATGGAATCCGTCCTTTGATGTCCTTTGTCGAAAGCCGAAGTCTTTGAATCGCTCGGGACGAGTCCATGGAGCTGAGTTCCCAGGATTGATAAACCCCTGGTTTATTCAGAGGAGGGTACCATTTTAGTAACAATAATATAGAATAATATATATATAGGTACACACACACATACATACATATATATATATACACGTCATGTAAGTATATATCACTATTGTGGGGGTAATCTCCCAATCAACAGTCAAGTGTTCTTAATCCGGATTGACATTACAGAAGAGTTTCTGGTACGAATTTGGCATTCGCGGGCAAGCCGTACCAGCGCATATGCTGTGCCACCGTCACTGCCTCAGCTCCAGTTGTTTCATGGGTCCACCCAGTAGCCTTACCATGGGCAAAGTGCTGGGCAAAAAGTGCACTGACAGCTGCTCGAATTCGTTACTGGATGTTAGCAAAGAAGGATAGTATTCGATATCGCGGCTTGGTGCTGTCTACATAATTATATCATAAGAATGATGATACCAATACTTGTGAACAGCCCAGTCCTTAGTTGTGGCTCCCCTTGTTTGGGCTAGCAGCTCGCTCGGCCTTAGCCTTAGCTGAACCTTCGGGATGGCGATGGAGAGAGAGAGAGAGAGAGAGAGAGAGAGATACTAGTGATCAATCAGAAATCATGTTATTAAATATAGTGCCAATATGTGCCAATAATGACAACCAACGTGATAATAAAATCAAAAATGATTCATCAGAAGAATAACCCACGGCTTTCAATGGATTTTGCTTCGCGCCACGCAGGCACAACTAAATTTGATGCTCGAGGCTAGGGAGGCCACCGAGCCATGGCTTTTGCAAGTCGTCGAGGGTATACACCTATGGAATTAGGTCAATTAGGGTCAATTCAATTGTACCTACTTAAATCTACTTAAGGGAAATCTACTTAAAACTTGCACCAGACACACACACACTGTGCCTTGAGTCTTGAATCCTAATATTTGCATTCATTGGCAAACGTTTGCCAACGCTAATTCAGCAGAAATCCCTTAAGTAGGTATGATTGATTTCACTCCCATGGAAAAAAGTCTCCATGTTCGGTTTTTCCACGGGCCTGGAAAACGCCATGCATATTTCTCTTGAAGAAGTGGTTTTAATCGGCAAGAGCAGGCTTTGCAAGCAGACACTTTCAGTCAAAGGGTGCAGCATTCCTTTAACAAAAGTGAATTTCTTTTCAATAGGTAACATTCCTTTGAAGAAACTCACTTCTCTCCAAATAGCACTATTTATATCTATTTATTTCAGTGAGGTAGTACCTGTTGGTTGTTTTACTTGTACATATGTAGTAAATTCAAGAAATTAGCACATACCCATTTGATAAAGTACAATATGTGGCGAGATTTTCTCAAAGAAAAGTCCAGGCCATTATTCAGACAGATACAATGTTGCTTCGAATGAAGTCATATACCCTGGAAAGCAACATTGTTTTGATCCTGATTGACAAGAGCACTCGTTTTTGATTTTAAGGATGAAGGATCCCGTAGAAAAAAAATGTGTTCCTTTTCAAAAGGTAGCATTCATTTAAAGAAAGTCACACTTTTTTAAAGCGGCACTGTTCATCTCAAAGAGGTAGCATTTTGTCGGAAACGTTTGTTGTTTAAACCATCATTGTTCATATTAAGTTTGTATGCACTATTGCTTGACAAGAAAAAGAGAGTGCGTATATACTTTACCAAGCACAATGCAGCACTACCTGCACCAAATGTGCAAAAAACACACAAGAAATGGATTATGAAGAGATGGTGGTATTGATCGTCCACCTCCCATGGTTACCCCTTCTGGCTTTGTCTCTCATTTGTGAAACAAAAAGCGAGTATAATATAGATAGATAATGATCGATATATAATGGTGTATATATATAGTTATATATACATATGTGCATATACACATGCATGTCGTACAGTTGTATATGCATGGAACATGTGCTGAACATATTGTCCAAACATGTTGCCTTTGCATGCTTTTGATGCTAATGGCTACAAACCCATCTGAACACCCATCTTGGGGGTAGCATAGAGATGTGAACATATTATACATATATACATATATATATATATACACAAGATGTATTGACACAGTAGATACATGTAAATGAATGTGTCAATGGATATATATATATATACATATATATATATATATTACATTGATAAATAGATACACCGATAGATAAACAATAGATATATAATTATCACATTTCCATTCCCCAACACTTCTAGGACCTAGGATAAAGATCCTCGGGCTACCAACTTGTGAGGGTTATGCTCGACGTCGGCACTTCCCACCAGATTTGATATAATACCATCATTCACCACGGACTCGGACGGTGAGAATGCCAGTTAGAATACATCGCCAGATTGGAGATGAGATCTGCGTCCAAATGTGGGTTTGGCTCCAGGCAACCACTGAGAAGGATGAAGCCAGTGCCTCAGGCAGTCCAAGAAAATGACCCCTCTGGTAAGTTAACAGTTCGCCAGGGAAAGTGATCATGGCAGTAGGTGATTTGCCTATTAAACATGGATAAAACATGGATACTTTCTCAATTCTCCATGGCAACTCTGCTCGGGGTTGATTTTCTGAACTCTGTCGGCTCATGGCGCAGGATGATGGGATTGATGGGACACGGAAACCATTTGGGATATGGTTCAGGCGTGGGGATGTGAGCATCACATGTGGATGTGGGCGCCCTGCCATCTGCAGCACAAGCTTTGGCCAAAACGAATGAATGACGGCGATGGAAAACATCCTATAAGCAGCAAACAGACACCCCCAAAAGAAAACTGTGTTTGGCCCAGGACAGCTGGAAGTTCATAAATTCATAATGTGAACTTTGAACTTCTCAATACATCTCAATACAATCGTAAATATCCTGCAAGACTGGGGTATAAGAAAGGGAAATTGATTTAACACCTTTTGGAAACCCTTTGCAGTCAACAACATGGCCCGGATAGCACAACCCTTGCAAATTCTGACACAAAACAGCTCATACTCCATTGCATTTTTTAAAATTTGAGCACAAGTTTGCATATTTGAGCTGAAGTCCACCAGACGTGCACCACAGGTTTCAGCTCACACATTTTGGCACACTCATCATAAAGGCTGGGCTTTAATTCAAAGCACACCAACGCCCTTGATGGCCAACACGTGAGCGAAGAACGCTGCGTTGCTATGGATGCTTGGCCTTTACAACAACCCGTGGGTTGTGGCAGTTTGACGTCTGTCTTTTGCTTACAACTCGCCCAAGATACACCAAGCCATCAAGCACATAAAGTAGTAATGAAGATTCAACTTGACACAATGGTCAATGATTGCCACAAGTTGTAGCATGCTTGACTCAATGGCTATGGGAACCACCTTGCCCCTTTTGCTAGCATATCCTGCGCCGGCGCAATCTGGCGCAGAGGTTTGGGGCATTTCTCTCGGCTTGCTGTTGGGAGGATTTTTGTGTGGCTACCTCTTTGGTCGCAGACGGAGCAAAGATGGCTGCAATGACAAGGTTTCGGGGTCAGCCTTGGGGCAGAGGGGACTTGTAGGCCTTAAAGGACTCTGAAGACTTTGGAGCCTTGATCTTCTCAGATATCCTAAATATGTTATGGATTTTCTTGGCGTGCATTTAGATCATCTGCCTACAAAGCGGTGATCTCACGAACAGCTGGCACAAAGCACCATTCCCGGAGACCGGACTTCTCATCATGGCTGTGGCCACATGCACTGCCTTGCACCAGGAGAAGCCCAAGCGACGCAGTGACTCAAACTTTACCGATCGTGACGCAATTCTCGAGTTGGCCGCTTGGTTGAATCAAAAGGCCCCTGTGATGACACTGAGACCTAGCAATCGCACAATCACCAGGGCACAGTGTTTTTTCAAAGCTGAAACATAACATACATAACGGCAAGCCCCGAGTGCAAAGAAATGCGCCCCGGCCACAGGGTCGCCTCAAAGTTTCTTGTTTCCAGCTCCAAAGCCTTTTGAAACCATGAGCCCCTGGAGTCGTCCCAATGAGCTGTGACGTCACTGGAATGATGGTGCAGATTAGGGTAACTATGCATATATATATATGGTGGCCCCCCCATACCTATCCTTTTTGTACCTTTACCGGTATTTACGGTGTTTTTTGCATATTTTGGGGTATATATTTGTTTAACGTATTCAAATAAATTTGGACATAGTTTCGAGGGGGCGTACCATATATATATAACCGTGGATGTAGACAAACTTGTGAGACATGATGGTTCTGGCATCAAGAGGTCTTAGGAGGTCCTAGGACCTCACTGGAACCAAGAACCAAGAACCAAGATTGCACAGAAAGTTTTGGGGGAATCTTGGTTCTTGGTTCTTGGTTCCAAGGAGGTCCTAGGACCTCTTAGTTCTTCTTCCTTTCAGACTATGTCTTAAGTATAATTCATACTAATGTTGAGCTAGTATTTTTCAGATAACTTGTTATACTATATATATATAACCGTGGATGTAGACAAACTTGTGAGACATGATGGTTCTGGCATCAAGAGGTCTTAGGAGGTCCTAGGACCTCACTGGAACCAAGAACCAAGAACCAAGATTGCACAGAAAGTTTTGGGGGAATCTTGGTTCTTGGTTCGTGGTTCCAAGGAGGTCCTAGGACCTCTTAGTTTTTCTTCCTTTCAGACTATGTCTTAAGTATAATTCATACTAATGTTGAGCTAGTATGTTTCAGATAACTTGCTATACTATATATATATATAACCGTGGATGTAGACAAACTTGTGAGACATGATGGTTCTGGCATCAAGAGGTCTTAGGAGGTCCTAGGACCTCACTGGAACCAAGAACCAAGAACCAAGATTGCACAGAAAGTTTTGGGGGAATCTTGGTTCTTGGTTCTTGGTTCCAAGGAGGTCCTAGGACCTCTTAGTTCTTCTTCCTTTCAGACTATGTCTTAAGTATAATTCATACTAATGTTGAGCTAGCAGATTTTTCATATATATATATATAACCGTGGATGTAGACAAACTTGTGAGACATGATGGTTCTGGCATCAAGAGGTCTTAGGAGGTCCTAGGACCTCACTGGAACCAAGAACCAAGAACCAAGATTGCACAGAAAGTTTTGGGGGAATCTTGGTTCTTGGTTCTTGGTTCCAAGGAGGTCCTAGGACCTCTTAGTTCTTCTTCCTTTCAGACTATGTCTTAAGTATAATTCATACTAATGTTGAGCTAGTATTTTTCAGATAACTTGTTATATATATATATATCCGTGGATGTAGACAAACTTGTGAGACATGATGGTTCTGGCATCAAGAGGTCTTAGGAGGTCCTAGGACCTCACTGGAACCAAGAACCAAGAACCAAGATTGCACAGAAAGTTTTGGAGGAATCTTGGTTCTTGGTTCTTGGTTCCAAGGAGGCCTAGGACCTCTTAGTTCTTCTTCCTTTCAGACTATGTCTTAAGTATAATTCATACTAATGTTGAACTAGCATTTTTCAGATATATATATATATATATCCGTGGATGTAGACAAACTTGTGAGACATGATGGTTCTGGCATCAAGAGGTCTTAGGAGGTCCTAGGACCTCACTGGAACCAAGAACCAAGAACCAAGATTGCACAGAAAGTTTTGGGGGAATCTTGGTTCGTGGTTCTTGGTTCCAAGGAGGTCCTAGGACCTCTTAGTTCTTCTTCCTTTCAGACTATGTCTTAAGTATAATTCATACTAATGTTGAGCTAGTATTTTTCAGATAACTTGTTATATATATATAACCGTGGATGTAGACAAACTTGTGAGACATGATGGTTCTGGCATCAAGAGGTCTTAGGAGGTCCTAGGACCTCACTGGAACCAAGAACCAAGAACCAAGATTGCACAGAAAGTTTTTGGGGAATCTTGGTTCTTGGTTCTTGGTTCCAAGGAGGCCCTAGGACCTCTTAGTTCTTCTTCCTTTGAGACTATGTCTTAAGTATAATTCATACTAATGTTGAGCTAGTGTTTTTCAGATAACTTGTTATCTGAAAAATTGCTCCCCTCCAGACATAAATCAACAAAAACCACTACATAAACATCATCAACCAATAACCCATAGAATCACAACAACACTCAACCACAGAACCCTCAACCCTCAAAAATTCTAACAGCATAACCTTGCCCAACTATCATCCAAAAAAATTATAATTTATGTGGTATTTTCTCGGGCAAGGTTAGGTTGATAGAAAAACTACATTATAAGAACATGTTTGTTGAAAATTATTGTATTAAAGTGTTAGGGTATTTATTTTACATAATGTTTATTTAACTAATATTTTCCACAACTTCTATTACATCTATCACAGTATGGCATTATATTGTCTAATGTATGGGTATATTCATTATTCACCCTTTGCCAGTTAAATTTGTTGTTATATTTCCACCATTAATAATTGTATGAAACCCACATCCACAGTAATTGCATTGGTTAGTTATATTATCAAAATCACTTAACATTCAAATAACCTTCTTTTGGTATTGTTCTTTTTGCTTTCCTGTCCTGTTGCTTGTAATTCTCATTTTTTCTTTCATATTTACTTTTCATACATTTATAATTGAATTCATCATTTACATCATCACCATATTTATAAAACTTTACTTTGCTTAAATCTCTTGCTCTTGTAATTGCTGTCCATAACAACTCCCTATAATTTCTAATGTCAAAATGGTTATAATCAAATATTGTTATATCTCCATCTATACTACTACCTTGGGCAGAATGGCAGGTGGTGCAATGAGCAAATATAAAATTATCTCTTACCTTCTTAATTTGAATGGATTGCGGTATATTAGTTTTAGTATTTTTCAATGTCATTACCCCATCCTTTCCAATATGGACAATTCCATATTTACAATTCACGTTAGGTACTTATGTAGGTGTTTTAGTGTATTCTCTACATATCAAAAATTATCACACTTCATATTCATCTTTTCTATTTTCTAGTTTCCTAATTTCACTTGCTACATTCTTACAGGTATCATTTAAGTAGGCAATGTTATGCTTTGAACCACTTATACTAGTAGTATATCTGAAATATTGTTCAATTACTTTCTTCTTGAAAGGTAGTTTATTTACAAGAATATCAGTTTTCACATTGCTTATGTTTTTCTTTATCCTCTTTTGTTTTCAGTCGTTTACATTCTTTTAATAATATACTATTTGTGAAAATTTTATTTATGATATAGTCAGCATATACTTCATACTCTTGAATGTTAGTTAGTGGTTGAATAGGTTTTAGTTGCTTTGTGTCTCCTGTTTCTACTATTATGTTGTTGCTTTTATTCTCTTCTACACATTGTTTTATTCTCCAGTAGGTGCTTAAACTACTGAAGTAAATTTCATGAAAAATTATTACATCATACCCTGAATAATCAAATGGTTCTAACATTACATCACCAAAACTTCTACCAAAAAACTTATTTAATGTTAGTGCGTCTCCTTCAAAATCTTGAAGCAATCTATTAGTAGGACATACAAACATTACCTTATACCCTTTACCTACCATTTTCTGACATATATAACTGTTGCCAGTTCCAGCATAAACCCCCCTTATCATAATTGGGTTATTTTCCTTGTTAACTTCTATGATATCATCAGTGGATATCAGTGGCATATTCATTTTCAATATCAATTACCAAAACAATGCACTCATCTGGTGGAATCCACATTGTCAACAATGGCTAAAGGTAGGTACAGGAGGGGGGTAGCATATATATATACATTTATTTATTTATTTATGCATATATCCTAAGATGGGGTTGATGCAGATAGGTGAATTTGTCTTATTGATACAAATCAATGTTCACTATTCGCATCCCCAACCTTGGATGGGTGGTTTAATCCTTTACTTTTTTTGCGATGAATGGAAAATTACCATAACCAGCCAAAGTTGTTTCCCGAATGCGTAGCGAAGGGTTCTCGTTTTACTTTGGGGGTCTGGTGTGGAGACGTGCTCGCTCGACGCCGCTTCTGCGACCGCAACCGTCTGCAACCGTCGGCAATCGTCGGCAACCATTGACAATGAGGTCGCTATGGCTGTGCCTATGGCGAGTTCTGCAAAAGTGGTCACTTTTGGAGGTTTCAAACATCGCGTAGCCTCGTTTCACGTGGCAGGCGTGGTACTTTGACATTCCAACAGGTTTCATAACGTGTCGAAATTCGTTTTTTTTGTGTGGCAGGTGCAATATTTTTGCATCGTTTTCAGAAGATGCATTTTTCGTGGCAGGGGCAGCACTTCTGACATGTCGTGTTGCGTGTTTTTTGCGAATCGCGGCGTGGTGTTTTAAGACACATGATGAAAATTGATGGAAGCCTCACACGAAACATTGATTTTGAGGTAGCAAATTTCGAGGTTCATGAGAAAACTCGTAGAAAAACGCTGATTTTGAAGCTACAAAGTGCGAAAAATTGAGACAGTCTCGCACGAACTGCTCGAGGCTCCAACATGTCTCGTCTTGATGCTCTGGTTTTCTTCTGCCGTCGCCGTGTCTATGGGGGAATCTGCACAAGCTTTCCTTTTCGAAGGCGTCAAAGCAGGTTGTGATGTAATTTTGCGTGGCAGGCGTGGCACTTGGTGACATTCTTACGTGTCTGCAAAAGTGTCGAAAATCGTTTTGTGTGACAGGCGCAATACTTTTGCACTCTACACTTGACACTTTACACTTTAAACTTTACACTCCACACTCTACACTCCACACTTTACACTTTACACTTTACACTCCACACTCAACACTATACACTTTACACTTGACACTCCACACTTTACACTTTACACTCCAAACTCCA